ACCCACATAAGGTGTCTTAATGATTTTTTTAATATTTAAGTGTAGTTAAGGAATTTTGTTAAGAGATCTTTAATTTTATTCGTTTATTGGTGGTGTCTTAACTAGGGTTCTTAAAATAAAAAAAAATAAACATAATTTTATTAAAAAACACAAAGTTAAACATTATATTTTTGAAACATAGTTTTTAAAATAAAAACATTAAAACATTAAAAAAATTACTAAAATAAATGATAATTATTTGAAAACAGCTTCTAAGTTTAGTTGTTTTCTTGATCACGTCCAAATTTAAGTCATATATGTTCGACCAAATAAACGATAATTCTTGTTTACAAAATTTGATTTGAGATGAAAAGGAGTGATAAATAAGAACGGAGAGAAGGATGTGAGACAAATGTGATCATATATAACAAGATCCACCCACAGTTTGTGATCAATATTTCTTTAAGAAAATGTATAGAAGAACCGTGGAGATTATAGAGAAAGAGAATGGTTTGTAATAAGCAAAATAGAGAGAATGGTGAGTGTGATTTCTTTACACACTCTCTACGACAACAATTTATAAGCAAATCAAAAAATAAAAACACTACATTTCATTTTACACTTGCGACAACTACAACACTACACGACACCATCTAGCGCAGTCCGGTGACACCTACAAGACAAGAAGCAGAGCATTCCCTTGATTCATTGTCTGCATTCCCGTGTACTGTCTGACCTGCATTAATAAGAACAAGAGCATTCTAACATTTTAGCATTTCAGAAAGATTAACAAGAACATAGTTTCAGAACAGAAGATACATTAAACAAGCACATTGTTTCATAACAAGAACTACATTAAACAAGAACAATAAAATTAACAACAAGAAACTGAACTACAAACACAAGAAACGGAACTATAAAGATAAGTAGAAACCTAAAGATATTAATTGCCTCACACAACTATAATCTATCAATAAGCAATGCTGTTTATTACATAACCTAAACACTAACCTAAACAATAATCCTCATCTACTTTGTGACTGTTTTCACACGCAGTCATCATCCCTCTGAATCTCATGAAAATTCCAGAAGAAATATTCTTCAAAAAAAGGCTCAAACAATCATTGATATCGTCTGCAGATATTAGGAATATATAAAAAAAAATATCAAACAGAGAGAGAGACAACTAGCTACAAAAAAAACCTCCAGCCTTTAATCTTCTTGCTTTACACGTAGGTGCTATTAAACAAGCCGAGAGAAACAATTGAAACTGAAACCCCTTGATCCTTTTAACTGGTACAGGTCCAGTCTCCCCCTAGCCTCCTGCAACAGAGCTTCTAAGCTCTCCAGCTGTGTCACCCAAGACTGTTTCGATGCCCACTCCAACACTGCTAGAACCTAAAGATTTTAATTTCTCTTCTCATGATTCTCCCAACCCTGTATCTTCACTTCCTATCTCTTATACCTAATCACATTCCAGCAAAAAAAGAATCAAACCTCAAACACTCGTATATAATGAAGCCCCATCAATTAGTTAGTGTTAATCACCTAGCCATGAACTTGTGTGATGTCTAGATCAAACCATCTAAAGACAAAACAATCTACCTAGATCAAACCATATCAAAACCATAATAAACCGACAATCAAGAAGGATGAAAACGTACCTAATTACAGACAGACACCATGCATCTTGATCAATCGACCTAAAGACACAAAAACAGCAACAAATCAAAACAAATCAGATATGTGTCATTGAGATCGCCATTGTTAGCCATCTCAGAGAGTCACCGATAGAGAGAGAGGTCTCTATGGTGGAGAGCCACCCAGAGGAGAGGAGAGAATCGCCATACAAATCGTCTTTGGAGAGGAGAGAAACGAACCGACCGAAAGAAAGAAAAAAAAAATCACGACTGGAACCACGACACAGATCCTTTGCGCAGTGAAATTGTGACACGTGCCTGCTAAGAGGCGTGACTTCGAGAACCTAATTAAGGCACGCCCCTTCGGTTAATCAGCTTTTTTCTTTTATTTTTATTCTGAATTAAGCTAACAACCCCTCTAAGAGACGCCGATAAACATGGTCTAAGGACAAATCTTAAAAAATCAAAAAGCCAAAAACCATTAAAATAGTACCCAAGTCAAAGGCCATTAACTGGCATCATTGTCTGGTTTTAAGTAGCATTGAAACATATAAGTTGATAAGTTCTTTAGACTATGAAGATTTAGTAGCAACTTTTTCCACAGGGTAAAAAGGCTCTTGGTGCAGATGAACAAGTTAATTCTAGAAAAAAGTGGTGAAAGTGAAAAGGTCTCAATAGAGAGGAGAAGAGTATTGCCTCAGAACTTGTTGATGAAGAGACAGCTCAAATCCACCCATTGTGGCAACATTGTCTTGTTTTAAAATTTGATAAGATCTTGAGACTATAATATCTTAATTAGTAGCAACTCCATAGGCTCTTGGCGTAGATGAACGAACAAGTTTATTCCAGATTTTGACTATAAATAAAGAATTTTTTTATTCCAAATAAATATATCTTTGTAATTATTTTTGTAAATATAAAAAAGAGTAGTCATGTGATTTTTATTCTATCTTATATATTAAAACAGAAGTCATGACTTGATTTCATGTGTGATTTTTTTAAAAAATGGACTATTACTAGAAAATCATGTTACATTAACTCTCTAATAATCTTATCATTATTATATCTTATGAAAAATCATATATATAATAACAAAGATACGCTTAACAATTTGATTTTGGTAAATTACCCCACACCTTCCAATTTAATCACGCAAAATATGTCAATAGATATAAGTTTAGAAATCTTCTATTATTTATAAGGAAATATGTCAATAATAGTTAAATGCATCCATAATATATTAACAAAAATCACAGATTTATAATATGGAATATTTATATACCCTAACAAAATTTACACGCTATATATACTAGATAAATTTATTTCGACGTTAATTTTTAAAATTATATTGCTTTAAAAAAATTATTTTTTAATAAAATACTTTATAATGCCAATTTATGAAGCTATAAGTTTAGTTTTTAGCAAAAAAAAAGTTCGAAATTTATATTAACTTTACAAATTAAAGTATACTAATATTTAGTCAAGCTCTATTTATATTACTTTATCTAAAAATGAAATATCAATCTAACAAACAATAAAATATAAAAGAAGAAACAAATACATGTTTGTAAAACATGTATAATATAAAAAAAAATTGAAACAATCTATTTGATTAAAACACATATTATATAATATTATTATGTCTGAAAAATATTTACTATACATATCGTAAATATGTGATTACTATAATATATATCAATTTTACAAGTGAAAGCAAAATGTTTATATAACTAACTATAAACGAAAATAAATACCTTCGCGGTTGCGCGGGTCAAGATCTAGTTTTTTTAATTAAATTAAGATTATTGACGTGTTGGTTACTGATTACTTACGTATTAATCTCACTCCATTTACATTTATCCTCTGGCCGATCGATGATTCAACAAAGGGGAAGCTACAACAACTAGGTAGCAACAACCATAGATGATAGAAGACTCTTTTTACTAAAATGGTAATGAAATAAACATAAATGTCATAATTTAAATTTCTTTCCGGTTTAGTTTGATTAATAGGTGACAAATGAGTCAATGAAGCATAAGGAATGACTAAAAGATATAACTTTAGTAACAACCATGGAAGAAACGTATAAGAGTTGTTTTTAAAAAAAAATATTAGTGAAAGTAAAAATACTGCAGCTATATATATATATATATATATTGAGAATCTATAAGACTCAGTTCCAGTTATTAAAAGAACAAAGTAAACAAAGCAAAACAGAAAAACAAAGCCATACAATTTTTTTTTCTTTGAGGTATGTGACTTTGCATGCATGCATGCATTTGCAAAAATTTGGTCTCTTTGTTTTTGGTTAATGTCTTGTAGTTATATATATTTTTTCTTCTTCTTTTCATGTTCTAAATCTCTATGGTGACTTCATATTCTTCTTACTATTTGGTTCGGTTTTCTTCTAAATCATAGTATTTCATTTCTATGTTCTTTCTCATTTTTAAAGTAGTTTATTAATGGATCTTTGTTTGATTAAGCAAAAGCAGACACTAAGAAGATGTCTTCATCGCAAAACAACTCAACTTCATCAACCTCCACTCAGTCTTCTTCCCTCCCCGCAGGTGCCACCACCGGAGAAAACAACGTTAACCGTGAAGAGACGGCGATGACGTCGAGCCAACAACAACCGGAACGGACACAACTAACTAAACTGTGTCGTACCTTCTTTCTTGGTTTCTTTACGAATAATATTATTAAATGATGATGATCTTGATGTATTAATCTCAAACTCTTGATGTTGATGATGATGCTTTAGTCTAATTCTCAAACTAAGTAAAACATGCGTTTTCTGTTGGATGTGAACAAAACAAAGAGCTTATTATTACTAAAGAAAAATGGCTTAAAGATCCAAAACCATTAAAATAATATCCGTATCAAAGGCCATCATCTGGCGTCATTGTCTGGTTTTAACTTTTTAAGTAGCATAGAACATATAATTTGATAATTAGATCTTTAGATTTACCAAGTCAACCTTCCACATGTAAAAGGTTCTTGGTGAAGATCACTAGATTCATGGTGTCATGTATTCATTGGCATTAGAATCAGATAGTTTCTGTTCCTTTTGTGTATTTTGCTATATTTAGTACACAATCTACAGTTCCTTTCTTTTGATCTGCAAGATGCTATTAGAACAAACAAAAAATGTTGCATTTTCATAGCCATTAAAGAGCACTTTTCCGTCTCTACTCTGTTCACAAGAGATTAGAGTTTCAAAAAAGTCACAAAGAAACAATGTTCCCAAAAACTCAGACTATGGATGAAACCAAAAATGCACCCTGAATCAAACTCAGGTCCTAACATACAAAAGTAATTCAACAAATAAGCGTTCTAACTTCTAAGAACCTTTTTTCACACACCATTACATTCAACAACAGCTTATGCAGCTCTTCTTGGTTTGTTCTTTCTTCTACCCCCAATTTGTCTAAACCCTGATGACTTAACATAATCATCTGTGCTTGCTTTTGATCCTAAAACATTTTCTTCTTCCGTTACATTGCTCTCTTTAGACTTTAATGGTTTCTTCCTCTTCTTCCCATTCTCTGTCACATCTTCTTTACTTGTTACTGAACCACTTGTATCTCTCTCATTAAGTTTGGGCCTTAGAGGCCCAATTACAATCTTAAAAAAAAACACAGCTGGTTTAGCCGTGTTTATAAAATAACCGCCAGGTGGCGGGTTCGAATCCGCAACATGATGCAAACCAAACCTCATAACTCATAAACCCTAGTTTCCGGTCGTTTTCACTTTTGTCTGTGTGTCGTCGTCTCTCTTTTCCTTTCTTTACATCCATAAACCCTACTTCCCAATCCCGAAACCCTAATTTCAACTTCTATCATCAATTACAAAGCTCAGGTTTTGCGTCTGTGCTAAAAAGATTAAGGAAGAAGGATGAGGAAGAAGGTAGACGAACGTATCAGGACTCTAATTGAGAACGGTGTCAAACTAAGACACCGTTCCATGTTTGTCATCATCGGTGACAAGTCTCGTGACCAGGTTTTGTTCTAAAGCTTTCAACTTTTTCCACTCTCATTATCCCTACTAACTTTGTTTGTGTTTCTTCTCTTAACAGATTGTGAATCTCCACCATATGTTATCAAAGGCAGTGATTAAGTCTAACCCTAGTGTCTTGTGGTGCTACAAGGACAAGCTTGACATTAGCAGGTTCGCTTTCTTGATGCCAAAGTCTCAAGCTTTAGATTATGGGTGAATTGAAAGTTGATAACTTTGACATGAATGATAAGAGTCTGTTTTGTTTTTTGTGAGTTAACAGAATGTTTTGAGTGGCATTCGTGTTGTTTTGATATTAGCAGCTTCGTTTCTTGAAGCCAAATGCTCAATCTTTAGATATGTTTTCTTTTTTAGCTCTGGAGAGTGAATTGAGAGTTTATATATTAGATGTTAAATATGTCATTTGTGTGGTTTTTGCAGTCATAAGAAGAAGCGTTCAAAGCAGCTGAAGAGATTGAGGGAGAGAGGACAGTTGGATCCTGAGAAGCTTGACGCCTTCTCACGTTTGCTTGATGTTGGAAGAGTTACTCATTGCTTGTACAAAGACTCTGAACGTATTCTTGGAAATACTTTTGGCATGTGCATCTTGCAGGTACTTTTTATTGTCTCTACTTAAATGTTTCACTAAAGATTTTACTGATTCATTTTTGGTAAATACAGGATTTTGAAGCTTTGACTCCTAATCTACTAGCAAGGACTATAGAGACTGTGGAAGGTGGTGGGATGATTGTGTTGATATTACGATCACTTACATCGCTTACTAGTCTATGCACCATGGTTATGGTATGAACCCACTGATTTATCTCTTACTCTTAAAAGAATTGAGGGCTAAAACTAAACATCATCTGATTGCTGTTTATGTTTTCTTATTAGGATGTCCATGATAGATTCAGAACTGAGTCGCATTCTGAGGCTGCGGGTCGATTCAATGAACGTTTCCTGCTGTCAATTGCTTCATGCAAAGCATGTGTGGTCATGGATGATGAGTTGAATATATTGCCTCTTTCCTCTCATATTAGATCTATTACTCCAGTTCCTACAGAAATGGTAATCTTTATAGCCAAGTGAATTTTTCAATGTTTTGACAAAATGTAACTCTTTAGTATTGTGTGCCATTTTAAGGATTCCGAGGGGCTCTCTGAGGCAGAAAGGGAGCTGAAGAATTTGAAAGATGAGCTTAGTGATGATTTTCCAGTTGGTCCTTTAATCAAGAAATGCTGTACACTGGATCAGGTTTCAAAGCTATGAATTGTTTTGTGTACTTATCTTTTTTAATTGCTTGTCTCATGGCTGATGTTAACGGAGATTCTTTTTGTAGGGTAAAGCTGTTGTCACGTTTTTTGATGCAATTCTGGATAAGGCTCTTCGCAGCATAGTTGCTTTGATTGCTAGTCGAGGGCGTGGAAAATCTGCTGCACTTGGTTTAGCTGTTGGTGGTGCCGTAGCTGCTGGGTACTCAAACATTTACATTACTGCTCCAAGCCCTGACAACTTGAAAACATTCTTTGAGTTTGTTTGCAAAGGTTTTGATGCACTTGAATATAAGGTAAATCAAATTTATTTTTCTATGTATTATTTTAATATAGTACTTGTTCCATTTCATTGAGTAAAACCTATGCTAGCTCAAGCCAAGAATAAGAATCCATCATTATGCTTTGTGATGTGGTCATGTATGTTTCTAAAATACCTTTCACTCTTTCTTTTAAAGGAGCACCTTGATTATGATGTTGTGAAAAGTGCGAATCCTGACTTCAAGAAAGCTATTGTACGGATAAATGTCTTCAAGCAGCATAGACAAACTATCCAGGTTTGTTCATTCCTCGGTTAATTCATTCATGGTGTTTAAGCTGTTGTAATTTGTGTCAATCTCTGACGTGTTCTATTCTCTTTTATTTTTCATTCAGTATATACAACCTCACGAGCATGAGAAGCTCTCACAAGTAGAGTTGTTGGTTATTGATGAAGCGGCAGCTATTCCTTTACCAGTTGTGAAGTCTTTGCTTGGTCCTTATCTAGTTTTCCTATCCTCAACTGTCAGCGGGTAAGGGAAACATAGTTTGATGCTATTTCCATAATATGGGGGGAGTTATATGCATGTTTTGGTTTTAATTCAGGGTTAATCATGTTACTGATTGTACTTGTTTCTTCTTCTTTTTGTTGAAAGGTACGAAGGCACTGGTAGATCTTTATCACTGAAACTCCTCCAACAATTAGATGAACAAAGCCGGGCTCCAGCCACTGGTCTTGAAGGCTCTCATTCTGGTATTTTATTGATTCTTCTTGCTTTCGTTCTTGAATGTGAAAATTATGAGGGAATATTTGTAGAGGCTCATCTTTCTTAGAGTCATCGTGCAGATGCATGTTTGTGGTTAGGAAGGAAAAGTATAGTGCTTCTAAGCATTTATTTATAAATTTTTCATTCATTTCCTATGTTTAGCAGTGAGCTCAATCGTAAAGATCTAAGTGGCAGTACCTTCATCTCATTTTCTCCCTTAAGACGCATGCAAAGATTAGTTTAAGTGTTATGCATAGTAGCCCACTTTACTAGTGTATCTGGTAAATTAATTATCTGGGAAAGTGCCCCTGACTCTCTCAAGTTACTTTGGCAGGTTGTCTTTTCAAGAAGATAGAACTTAATGAGTCTATTAGATACGCTTCTGGAGATCCAATAGAATCCTGGCTTAATGGCTTACTTTGCCTTGACGTTGCTACTAGTCTGCCCAATCCTTCATGGTCTGCATATTTTACTGAAATTTTATCCTTTCTTGCAATACTAATTGTCTAAAAATGTATTTATTGGTCTCATCCTCTTTCTTCAATTTTTTGTGTAGCCATCCTCTGCCAAGTGAGTGCGACCTCTATTATGTCAACCGAGACACGCTCTTTTCTTATCACAAAGATAGTGAAATGTTTTTACAGGTAAATGGGGGTTGGCTGTATCCATACATTCTTTTGTTACCTGTATTTTGACAAGAGACTGATGTACGTGCATCCTACAGAGAATGATGGCGCTATGTGTATCTTCTCACTACAAGAATTCTCCTAATGATCTTCAACTACTTGCGGATGCTCCTGCCCATCATTTATTTGTGTTACTTGGTATGCAATTTTTCCTTTTTCCTTTCCCGACCTACTTATATTTTCAGAACTATACCTAACTCCCTTTAATCACAGGTCCTGTTGATGAGTCCCAGAACAAGCTTCCTGATATACTCTGTGTTATCCAGGTATAGACTATTTGACCGTTGAAACACATAGCAGTTTGATTTAGAACAGTGAATCACCAGTCTTCATGAATATGGACTTGTAAAGATGGTTTTTACAGCTATCAAACTGTATTAACTGCGTTTTGCAATAAGTTTCTTGTTTGTGTTATTTTTTGTATGTTTGATTTTAAGCATCTTCGTAATGCTATTTTCAGGTCTGTCTTGAAGGACAGATATCTCAGAGCTCAGCTCTCCAAAGTTTAAGAGATGGCCATTCACCATATGGAGACCAAATTCCATGGAAGTTTTGTGAACAGTTCCGGGACATTGAGTTTCCCAATCTCTCTGGTGCTCGCATTGTACGCATAGCAGTCCACCCTAACGCAATGAAGGTAATGTATTTTCTTTATGCGCATCTTTTTTTAACTGTCCAGTTAGATTTTGTGTGGGATTAACAAGTTTCTTTTTAATTTCTTTGTAGATGGGATATGGTTCTGCTGCAGTTGAGCTCTTGACCAGGTAATTTCATGAAAATGCATCAAAATTATCATGTGCATCCCAAACATTTCTTATATCAACGTGCTCGAAAAATTTAAGACTTTGTACTCTTTACTCGGTGTGGTCATACTCTTAAACAAATAATGCTTCTCTTCTTTACCTTGCTGATTGACATTTGCAGATATTTTGAGGGCCAGATTTCTCCAATATTAGAAGAAACTAATGAAGCTAATATTGTGCATTCACCCATTAGAGTTACTGAGGCTGCTGAGAAGGTTTCTGATTGTTCTTTATATCTGTGTGGGCTATGTTTTTTTGTTACTAGCATAGTTGTTTCTCTTGTTTACATACTTAATTGATTCCTTCTTGACAGGTCTCCATGCTCGAGGAGCAAGTAAAGCCTCGCACAAACCTTCCACCTCTACTCGTTCCACTCAATGAACGACGACCTGAGAGGCTCCACTACATTGGTGTCTCCTTTGGTCTTACTTTGGACCTGTTCCGGTTCTGGAGAAAGCATAATTTTGCTCCTTTCTACGTTAGCCAAATCCCAGTTGAGAATACCTCCAAGCTTTCTCCTTGATTGTTTATGCGATTCCATTTCTTGTAGTGGTTTTGTAACAGTGGTTTATTCCTTGTGCTTGGATCAGAGTGCTGTGACTGGTGAGCACACATGTATGCTTCTAAAACCGTTAAAGAATGACGAACTAGTCGTCAACGAGTCCGAGGAGTTGGGTTTCTTTGCTCCCTTCTATAAAGGTTTGTTGATTCTTTGAGCAAGAACTGAACTTTCTTCATCTTCATTGTGTTGTATCATTAATGTTTGACAATTTATTTTTTGCTTTGTTTAGATTTCCGGATAAGATTCTCTAAGCTGTTGAGTGATAAATTCAAGAAGATGGATTATAAACTTGCAATGAGGTAAGCAAGCACTAACAGTTTCTTGTCATGATTTTACAGTAATATCAAATTTCATATGATTATTCATTTTTGTCATATATTATTCTTTGTGCAGTGTCTTAAACCCTAAGATCAACTTCACAGAGAAGTCATCAGACGGATTCTTGAAGACACTTGACGGTATACTTTCTCCATTTGATATGGAGAGGCTCAGAGTATTCACCAACAACATGACTGACTTCAATCTGGTTAGGATTTCTTTTCTAGTGAACTGACCTTAGAATTTTCAATCAATACTTTCTATCTTGTAACCAGTTTCATTGTCTTATTGTTGAAAGGTTTATGACATCTGCAAAACACTGGCACATGAGTATTTTGAAGAGAAGATCCCTGTATCACTGTCATATGTTCAAGCATCTGTATTGCTGTGCTTGGGATTGCAAGAGTCAGAGTTCTCTGGCATTGAGGTAATGTTTGCTTCATTATGTTTCATCACAGCATGTTGAGAAAACTTGCCAACACATTTGAATATTCGATTTTTGCAGAGACAAATGCAGTTGGAGAGGGGACAGATACACTCTCTTCTCTTGAAGGTCTTAAGGGAGTTATACAAATATCTGAACGGGATTGCAGCTAAGGAGATTGAATTAAGCCGCCCTCGTTTGCAAAGGGTAACTTCATAGTGTTGTGTTTCCGACTTCATATTAATGTCCATCTTCTTTGTAAAGGCTAACTTATGGTTTCATCGTTGCAGAGAGTGCTTGAACCTCACGATGTATCTGTCGACGATGATCTCAGAGAAGGAGCAAAACAAGTTGAGGTAATTCTCCTACTTTCCCTTTAAAAATGTTATGCTAGTGTTACTTGCTTTGGTTATAATTTAAAGAGCTTGTCCTTGTGTGTTTTAAAGGAACAAATGATGGAGGAGAAGACTGAAGGATCAGTGGATGCAGAGCTTGAACAATATGTAATTGGAGACAAAGAAGCAGAGGCTCTGAAACATTCAAAGATCCCTGCAAGTGGTATTATCAGTGTTGAGTCTACCAAATTGGAGGATCAAAATGGTTCTGATCATTCCACCAAAAAGAGAAGCAAGGATAAGCATTACTCTTCGTCCAAATCCAAATCTGCCAAGAAGAGAAAAGCCTGATAAGAGTATTTTTTTCTACAATGATCAAAACAGTTTTTGACCATGAGTGATGAATCTTTATAACTGAATTTAGTTTGTTGTAATCTTGTTTTATGATCAGAATTGGCAAAAACATTAAAAAAGTTACTTATAAATCGGTTGAATTAGCAAAAATGAATTTTGCTATATTCTATTGTCTTCATGAATGAGAGATCAGCAGTGAGAGATGTGTCATGTTAAACTTCCAAATCTCCAAATTAAACCTTTGAGGTGTGTATATGATGGGTTAGATAGAGTCACAGGAGGTGGATACAATAGATGATGAAGACATGTGCAAATGATTGAAGTTTTTGGAAGAGATATGATGTAATGAAAGATGTTCAATGATCATGCTCACTTTTATTTCGATTTCTTCTATGACTTGACAAACTCTCTATCAAGTGTTCTCTGATAACCAATTCTCTCTATCAAATTGAAGCTAAACATTTCAACTTCTTACGCTTACTCCTTTAATAGACCAAAACTTCACGTATGCAGCTTTGAGTGCATGGAATCTAGCTAATTAACAAAAGGTAGAGAAAAATGATGGAAGGAGTAGTTGCAGAGTGGTTAAAAGAGAGATACCAATTCGTTCATCTTCTGTGTCATCCATGGATTCTCCACACGCCTTGCTGATGCAATTTGGAGACAGACACCTATTTCTTACCTTTCCTTCTTCTCCACTCTCTTCTTTTCTCTGCTTTTTCCTTACTTTATATCACCAAAAAATCAAAAATTACATGATATTTATATCGAAGGAAGCTATGGTTAGTTAAATACAGCATGGGTACAAGATTCAGTGAGAACATGCATGTAGTAGTTATTGAGTGATAATATACTCATGGAATTCGCATAGATTATGATAATATGCTCATGTAGCTAAGTTCGTCAATGAAAGAAAATCGCATAATTTTACGTGTAAATTTGCATGAAAGTTACTTTAAAAAGTCTTACAATAAAAAAAAAAGTCTTACAGTAAGCATTATTGCTAAAATATATACCAGCAATCTTACTAATCTACTACTTAATCAAATTGATAAACAGTCAAATACAACAACGAGAACATAAGTATTTTTGAGGCCTAAACAAAAAATGATACAATTTAACCTCTTTAAATTAATATTCTATATATTAATATACATTAAAATTTATTATAAAATATTTTTTTTTATAATTTCAAATTCAATTTTTAGTTTAATTAGTATATCGTAAATTAATTAAAATTATAATTTTGGTGTAATCCCAACATTATTTAATTTATAGAAGTTTTATTGTAGTTTCACTTTTGTGGTTCAAAAGATTTTAATAAGATTGATTAGAAAAAATAAATTTACAAAGTAGATGTGATCTGCATGTGTATTTTGGCATGTCTCTTAGTGTAACTGTGTAAGAAAGACAAAAGATCCAGGGATTAAGGTGGCCGATCAACCGGAAATCAGCCACTCTGATTTCTTGTCTAAATTTATTTTTCCAAGTCTACAAAAATATTTCTCAAAAGAATACCTTTAGACCAGGGCACATTGGATTTCATATATTTAGTTATAAGAAATGGTTTTATTTGTTTTATATATCCTCGGTCTTTGAGGTTTTCAGCGAGGCTTAAGCCTTATGCGCCGTTCGCGGTTATTTGAAAAATGAAGATCAGACATATCATTTATTTATACCATCCACAAAAAATTAATGGTATCTATTTAAAAGAAATTTAAATTAGTGAACTCGTCGTGTAGTAAACCAATTCATATTTACACAGATAACTCCTACTCGAATTTTACATACCTGAGAATTGGATGAAATCTTCGTATTACCAAAACTAATAATTTACTAATATATGTTTTTTGAGAATTTTTTTTTTTTTGGATAAAGGGCTTGTTTTTGAGACTAATTTGATAAAATTAATCACTAACTAGCTAATGCATGTATATGTAGTTAACAATATATGATTGTGTGTAGAAGACATGTGCTTATTGGGATTTGTTTGGCATCAAGAACCCCTAAAAATTCCTGCAACTGGTCCAAGATTCCATGACGACAAGGACCTTTGGCCTAATTTGCATTGATACGATTGCCTAAATTTAATCCATTTGTAGATCCAAATGAACACCAGCCAACAAAAACAATTAATCAATAATTAAGACATAAATAATTACAACCACACTAATATAGTAAAAGTAAATAAATTTTCATATATATTTTCATGGATGATATCACAAACAACCTTTGAGTAAGTCATATATACTTTGGCATTCTGCCTACAATTTTTGAAGCTTTAATATTTATGACATTTTCCATCTTTTTAAGTACAAGAGTAGCTTTTGGTGAAAAATGGAAGTGTAGAATAAATCAATGTTGTTGATCGATCTAAGTTTGGGAAATGTGGGAGTTTGGTTGAAGTTAAGAACAGTGTATAAACTAAGATTTACTATAAGTTGTAGGGTGGGGTTTAGTCTTATTCAAATCACCAGATACACTCCACAAGCTATAGATTATATGTTTATACTAAGTTTATTTAAATATTATAGATCCATCAGAAGGTTGTCTACGTTTGTAGTAGATTAAATCAAATTAACAAAAGTGAAACATGAAGTGGTGGGAATCTGAGGTTACAAAACGATATTAATATAACCACAAATAAATCATAAGAAGTGTTTGGTTTCTTTAACCTTACGCAATGTTTTAATGACTTTGAGCTCTTCCCAATACCTAATTAGGAGTTTAAAAATTCAGTCCTCAGCCAAACCCTTTTGTGGCTCACTCTACTTCTTGTATTGCACCACACATATACATAATTTTTTTTTCTCATTCCTAAAACAAGTAAAGTTTTGAAAAATCAGAAAATATTTTGGGTTTTTATGCTATAAATTAAGAAGAAAGCATGAACATCAATATATAATGTATCTCTAAATAGATTACGTGCATGTGGTTCACAATTTATTTTGCGTGTTCATCCTAATTGATAACTTAACACAAATCACACCTACATATTAGCTTATTAAGATCTTCTTGGCATTTAAATATTTATTAATAACTCTAACAACATTTTCTAGCTAAGAATTAGAAAATAGCATTGTAGATAAGCAATCTCGTGGACAATTATACGGAAAATTACAACAATCGTCTTACAATTTTTTTTTAAAAAATCATTAAAATATATTTTTCAGAAAAAAAGAAAAGAAAACAATCATATTCGTGAAAAGCAAATTACAAAAACGCCCACTAGTCCAAGAACTTTATTCAGAAAATAACAAGGAAATGAGTGGCCAAAAAGTCAAGAAAATCCTTTATAAAGGTCCCACGAGTGTTGATCACTACAATGCATAGAGAAAAAAAGGAACACACGAAATAAGTGTGAGAAAGAGTCTCTCTCTTTGAGTGTATAAGTCATGCAGCTCAAAACATCATCATGTTCATCATCTTCTTCTTCTTCTCCATCACCATCCATGAAACTCAAAACCCTAATCCAAAATCTCCTTGCACACCCTCTCTACCGTTTCCTTAGAGCTGTCTCTAGAGCTAAGACAATCTTTCTAGAGATGTCTAAACACAACAACAAGAAACGAAAGCTCACCATGTTTTTTCCAAGAAAGGCTTCAAAGAACCAACGCAAGATCTTCTTCGGGTCGTTCAGATTGCATTACAACTGGTGTTCTTCTGATGTTGTTCCCGTGCCTCAACCTTTCCCTTTTTCTGTCTCTGACATCAATGGTCAAGAAGATGATGAGTCTCAGCTCTCTGGCTACCTCGAGTGGCTGGAGCACAAGAAGGTTGAGGATTTGGAAGAGGTAAGAGATGTTGCAGGAGCCAATGATGATGATGGTGATGATGATATTGATCATTTGGCTGATATGTTCATTGCTAATTGCCACGAGAAGTTCTTGCTCGAGAAAGTGGAATCTTACAGGAGGTTTCAAGAAATGTTAGAAAGGGGTTTGTGAAACATTGATTTTGACTTTTGTCACATTAATTAATAATCATGTTGTAATATCTTTTAGCTAGTTTGATTTGATAGTATTGCCACAAGGTGGTGAATTGTGTCTTGAAAGTTTTGGGGGTAATGTGCAAGAAGTTGAAACTTTTGGGGTTGTCAGTGAAACATGATATTGTAAAAACAATAAATAGTCATGTCCATCTAATTGGGCACATCTAGTTAAGTTGTGAGTTTTGATTAGTGTTTGGTAAACTATATCCAACTTGCCTAGTACTTAACTATGCCCAATCTCGAGAGAGTTTAAGGAAATTAATTAAACGAGGACTTAACAAAAATCAGAATCAACGTACCTTACAAAAAAAGTAACAAAATAATAAAATTGAATGACAAATAAAGACTGCTGTTGAGAATGCAAGAGTCTTAAAAACGAAACATAATTTATAAAATAAGATTCACTTTGTGAATAGTTACCGTTAACATATGTATATTGATTGATTAGTAATGCCTTGTCGTATAAATGCGTATAACTATAAGATTAATTTCATTTTCTTCTGAAAATGTAACTCAGATCATAATAACTAAAAGCGTATAAAGTACACTAGAACTTTAGATAAGTAACTATGTAGACAATAAGATAAGTAACATAATTATTTTTGTATAGTTAAATTGAATCTATAACTTTAAATCTCGTACAGCTCGAGATATATTGTTGTGAATAATAACTAAAAGCCTAAAGTACACTAGTATTAAGGATCGAACAAATCTCGATAAAAAGAAGTATCTAATGCACAATTCGCTGTGCTTGTGACCAAAAAAAGAACACAATTCACTGTGCCTTTTCAACTACCCATAAATCAATTTTCACCTAATTCGGACTTTATAGGACGATATCGTGGTGTTTCCGTGTAATTGCAATACTCCTTTCACCAAATGACTATAGTGTTCGAGAAGTAACACTCCATGATTGGAATGTCCTTGTACGTAGATGTTGTGGATGGACATTTTTTCCACAGCCTAATAAACATCAAATCAGAGGAAGGTTAGTTCATGTAATCATATATGGTTGTTTCCTGTAAGAATATCATAAATTTATGAATTAGTTTTGAAGTTCATCAACACTCTTAATCTTTCTCCTAAATAACCGACTATGTTACATTGTATCATGCAACATACTATGCATTAGCTTAAGTGGTACTTATTTTAAGATGAAATATGACATTAATGGCATTGTTAAAAACGCTCTTGAAATTTAGTATTTCAGAATCTTTTATCTAAGCATTACGGTACATGCGATTCCTTTTTTCAAATGTTCTTAACAGACGATCGATTTTTACAACTGAAAATGGACATGAGGTCAATTCGTTATTTCCTAAAATATTAATACTCGATTGTTTGTATAGTTTTATATTTCAACTAAACATGAGTTCTAATGGCTACTTTGATTCCACTACTCTTTTACTCATTACAATATTATATGCATCGCTTTTTTCTTCAAAACAACGTACCAGACTTTAGGCGTTTGATTAAAACATTTTGGCCTTTTTAATGGAAATCAAAAGGTTAATTGGTATACATTTTGCTAAATATTGTACATGATCTAGAGTCTATTTTCCACATCCCTAGATATTGTTTCGTTGACCTTTGCAGTTTATAACTTTATGTTATGTAGCATGCTCGAGACCCAAAATTAATAGATCATACCAGATCACACGGAGATACTCTCCAGAAAATCAACTCGTCTAGACAACGATCTAGTTAAAATGGACGGTGACAAAAAAAAAAAGAAAAAATAAAGAGACCCAAAATTAACATATTGTATGTTTATTGAATCAGTCAACGAGAAGGTTATCATTCATGATTCATCTCTAGGTTTTCATCACTTTCTTTTTTCTTTTCTGGTTCATTCTTCACCATCAACATCAAGTTGGGTTAATATTTTGTAACTAAATCACGCTTTGCACGTAACTGTTCTTCATCAACAAGAAGCATATCATACATCTCTAGGGTTTTTGCTTGACCATCAATTTTAACAGTTTTTTTTTTTTTTAACAGTTTGTGTTACTTATTTCTAACTTTGTATGTTCATGTGGGTTCCTTCTCGTACTGGTTTCATTATTTGGGCAAACTACTTTTGTGATTTGAGCAGGATTCAAGTTTGGTTCTCTGTGTTTGAGATTGGCTTACTTAGTATAAATTGTAAAACCTATTACAAATTTTCGGATAATCTTTTTGTGACACCCGTCACCTCCTATCTGGAGTACAGCGTGTCACACCCGACGCGTCATCAAATAACAATGTGACACCCGTCTCCCTCTCTCTAGGGACGACGGGCCACGAACAATATCTCATAACATAAAAGCCCCAAAGCCCAACTACACTCGCCAAGCCCAAATAAAAATCCGAATAGAAAAGCCCAATAGCACCAAGTCCGTCCAAATATCACCTTATAGCTTGTCTCACCTGAAATAGGAAGAAAGAGGGGTGAGCGACTGGGGAGTCACTCAGTGAGGTATGGATGCTACTCCGAAGTCCGTAGACCCGGACATAGCACTCCAAATAAATATAAATTAATTCTAATGCATGTCAAACACGGTACCTAAAGTACCCAAACAAACAAACAATGGTCCTAGCGAGGTGCACACCCGCTGCCCACTAACAGGCCAAAAACACTACCCACACCTGGGCTACAACAACTCGAGATAGTGCTCGGACNAAAACTCAGCAAGCAGACACCAATCAGACCCTAAATTAGACTTAATTCACAAAGACGGAACACATTAGAAATAAATTATATTTATTTAAAGTTCTAAATCGCGTACGAATCGTTCGGAAGTAGACCCTCACCTTAGCAACTGGGGAAATGTGGTATCTATGAACTCCAGCTGCTCAAATAGATCCCAAATCTGAAATCAAATCGAAATTCCGAGTCAGATTGACCTTCGAACGGTCGAAAACGGGCGATTACAGAAAAGTCAACCCGCTGGTCAAAGGTCAACCCGGTCAACTCTGACCCAAGCCGGTCAACCCTTGACCAAATTGAAATCGAATTGGACCAGCCGGTTTTCCTTAACCGGATTCGATTTCAATTGAACCAAAACCAAATCAATTTCAATTCGGTTTACTCCTAACCAAAATTCAATTGATTTTAACCGCCGGTTTATCTTAACCAAATCGCAATTCAATCGAACCGGTCAAACCAGTCAAACCAACCAGTTGACCGAGTCAACCGAGTTGACTCGGCCGAGTTGACCGAGTCACCGGCGAGTCACCGGCGGCGACGGCGGAGCGGCGGCGGTCCGGCGGCGACGGCGGAGCGGCGGCGGTCCGGCGGCGGTCCGGTGGCGGAGACACGGCGGTCCGGCGGCGGCTCCGGCGGTGGTCCGGCGGCGCGTGCACTTTACGCGCGCGCGGAGGCTGATCTTGCGGTGGCGCGTACGGCTTCATCCGGACTCCGATTGAGGCGTTTTTGGTGTCTACGGCTTCGTCTCGACGAGTAGAACACAGTGGTGGTCTTGCATGCACGAGATTCTCAACGGTTCAGAAGTTATCGACGATTTACTAAACGGACAAAACAAACCTTAAACTCACTGCGATTTCCGGTGGTTACTATGGCCGCGAATGGTGTTGACGAGCTGGACATGATCATGGCGTGCAGTGGTTCCGGTGGCGAGCTCTGGTGGTTGATCTAGGGAGGTTTCCCAATTCTCTCTCTCTCTCTCTCTCTCTCTCTCTCTCTCTCTCTCTCTCTCTCTCTCTCTCTCTCTCTCTCTCTCTCTCTCTCTCTCTCTCTCTCTCTCTCTCTCTTTTTCTCCTTCTGAATTTTGCAAACAAGAACTGATGGCTGGGGATGGAATTAATAAATAAAAGTTATTGGGCTTTCTAACATTATTTGGGCCTGCGGGAATAAATATGGACCTTAGCCCGCTATTAATTCCAAAACTGGATTCGGGTCGTTACACTTTTATTTTAAATATTGTTTTAACTAGGAGCTAAGGACCAAACTAATCCAATCGCTGACGATAAACATAATATCCACTACATCAAGATTTAGTGGGATCTAGTAAACTTTATCGCAAAAGAAAACGATTAATTATCCTGTTTGTTAAGCAAACAAAATTGACTCTCCTATAAAATAGCGAGTGACTCATTTACGCAAACCGCCACAGTTCGTTACACCAAGCCTTACCTTCTTCCACAAGTATCAAATCGTTTTTCTTCCCCCTCCACAAAACTTCAAGCTCTTCTCTCTTTCACCTCTGCATCACAAACTTGAACCAGAAACTGCTCTTCAATGACGGATCAGAAAGATCAACACTCAGATACTCCTCCCACCGGTACGTCTCTTCAAAAACCTCTTCACGGTTCTTATAACGTTTCAATCACAAACCCTAGTAATTAGGGTTTTCAAGAAACAGGATCACCTTACGTTTTGGTTAGTGAACTGATTCTATATTCCGTTTGCAGACGAATCAACTCGTCTCCCTCTCAAGAAGAGAGGCTACGCAGAGAAAACACTTCCTAGGTTAAACAACGACGGTGATTGCTTCTTCCCCACGGACAAGGACGACATGAAGCCCGACGTTCTCAGGAAGAACGCTTACTATGACGCTCTCAAGGCCTTCTCCGCAGAGTCTTCTGCAGTATCTGCCGTAATGTTTCATGTCTCTGATCCATTGTTACGGTTCTTGAAGGTTGTGCTTATGTCTGTGTTCTCTTGTTTCAGCCAAGGATTATGCTCATCAAAGAACTCAAGAGCGCACTGTACATCGACCAGAATACTCACACCGATTTACAGAAGAAAATCAAAGCTGATTCACTTGTCCAAGAACTGAGGTATCTTGATCTACACGGAAGAGATTGATCTTCTCTTCTTTCTCCTTTAACCTAATTCTCACTCACTCTGTTTTCTTAGGGGAACTTCAATAGGTTCTTCTGAGAAGGAGAAAGTCACTGACGCTGAGGATGCGAAGAGTACTTCCGTAGAAGGAGAAGCACCAAAGCCACGTCTCATAGTGAACAAGCAACACGTACTCAAACTTGTAAGTCCTTGACATCATCTGTTTCCAAGTCCAAAAGCTCAAAACTTGTACTAGGTTTTGACATCGTTTGTTTTCTCTTTGCTTGCTTAGCAAGAAAGCTTCAACGTAGCTCCTGCAAAGATCCAGCAAGAAACGGCTGAACCGAGTGCTACTACTACTCCTGCAAAGATCCAAAAAGAGAAGGCAGATGCTAATTTCCCAAGCTGGGGCCATGTTTCTCCTGAGTCTCTTGTTAACAACATCATCACTATAAGCATCGATGGTGAAGAAGACTGCGTTACATTCAAAATCAAAGCCTATGACCCAGTAACGGTAACTCTCTCTTCACACATTTCCTTTCTGTCTTGTGCATCAAGTTAGGTCTCTTCTGTCATTTAGCTTCCAATCTATAAACAGGAAATGCACCAGCTGGTGCCTTTATCAAGGAACAAGGAAGTGAACGACCCCTTGGACTGGATTGATATTAGATATGTAAGATCAAACTCTTCTTCAAGTTTTTGAAACCAAACCATTGAATTTCAAAAAACTTCAATTGCAGTTTCCAAGAGAAGATATTATATGGCAACATGAGCATCCCGGGTTTACAACACGCAACTCGTATCTTAAACCAGGCCAAACTCTCTTGAACGCAACCGCTACATCTCGTGAAAAGACGCCAATTAGAGAGGTACATATCCTGCTCCTTCAAAAGCTTCTTTCTAATGCTTAACCCCTTCACTGACACAACTTCTCTGATAGGTTGGAAGATCTGCCAGTGGGATTCCTATCATCAAGAAACTTGATAAGGGAAAAGCTATAGTGCAGTAAGGGTGCAGAGAAGACCAGAAAAGCATGACAACAGTCCAGACCAGAACACTCTCTTATAAACTTGTTTTAGATCTTTTGCTCTTTTAGTGTCACTGAACTTGTTAGTAGATTCTTGATACTATATAAGATGGTTAAGCAGTGTAATAATGACTCATAACCTCCTTGTACGTTTCTTTGGGCGAGTAGAAGAACCTTCCTCCTTTTCAGTAGCTTCTCTTTTAGAGGCTGCACCAGTGTTTTTCTTAGCAGGTGTTGTTGGCTTCTTACTAGTTGCTCGTTTACCTGCAACTTTTTCATGCTTACTCTTAGCTCCATTCTTTCCATTAGATGAACCATCCTTCACCGTCTCTAGCACAGTTTCAGCCCCTTTCATTCTCTTAAGAAAACTTGCAGCACTTTGTTTCTTTGAGCCAACGTTTGTGCTCTTACCCTTCTTTTCTTGGTCACTTTTCTTCTGCTCATCATCCAAACTGGTCTTAACGTTTCTTGTTCTTCCTCTAGATATCTTCTTGTTAACAATAGGTTCCTCATCTTTATCAGAGGTTTCATCTTCCTCCTCTGGCTCTGAAACTTGCTTCTTCTCATTCTCATCCGACGTTGGAACTAGTTTAGTATTCTTCTTTAACGGTTCAGTAGAAGCTCTAACAGCCAAGGAACTACGTTTCCTACAAGCTTTAACAGACACTGACACTTTTGTCTGTAGAGACAACAGTGTGAGTTCCTCCTTAGGCGTCACCAAGGGTTCCTCTTTTGGTGGTGAGGTTTGATTAGACTTCTTGAGAGTAGTCATGTGTTTCTTGATGAGTTCGTTAAGCTGCATTGCGGAGTTAGATTCAGGAGAACGTTCACCGTAGAAAACCTTGGCGTTGTTGATTAGTAGAAGTAAATCTCGATAAAACTTGGTCTTGGAGGTTTGGTAATAACCTTCGTGGACACGAGTTCGAATCAGCTCAATGTCTATGTGCTGCCGTATTATCTTCTCGTATTCAGGTGTTTCCTGCAGCTCCAGAATCAAACAAGTAAGCACTCCTTCACACAAAAAATATTTCTAAAGAAAATGAACATATTCGATTAAATTATTATTTTTTCTATTAGTAGAGACTGTTGGAAAATAAAAGAGAAAACATTTTTAATAGCATTATATATTAAAAAAGTATAAATGTAAATAATAGATTTTAAAAAGTTATAATAAGTATATATTTTTTATTTGAGTTTATTTTGTACTTATTAGTGTTTTAGTGTTGCTCAAAAAAATATATAGTGTTTTAGTATGAAAAATGATTAGAATAGAGCTAAAAAAAGTTTTTATCACAATTATATACCTTAATAATTAGAATGACCAAAATAGCAATTAAATATTTTATTAAATATACATTTATACGCTTGGGTTAATTAATGCTAAAACTTTTTGTTTAGAGTTAAGGAGTGTGGTTTTGGGAATAGGATATCGAATTTAAAAAAATTAAAAAAGTTAAAATTTTCAAAATAAAAAATGTTATTTTGGTTATTTTAATTTTTGAGATCTATTTTTGTGATAAAAAAAATTAAAAGAAGGCTATTTGAGAGAATTGCCCTTTTAGTATTTAATGTGGAGTAAAAATTTGAGTGAAAAATAATATTTTTCAGTGAATTTTCAGATTTTTTCCGTATATGTTGATGTAAAAGGAATCTTTGGAGTAATCAACGGAATGTGCGCATAAAAAATGAAAATTTAAAATTGCTGACTAAGCAAAAAAAGGGCTTTTATTCTTTTTACCTGGCTCTCGAGCCGGCGCGAAAAGTGGGAGCCAATAGGGTGAGAGCGAAGAATCTCGATGAATTCAATCAACGGCCCAGATTCAACTCGTGTCTTATCAACGGTCAGAGATTGATCCTCGTTATCCGGTTGGTCGTGTCCTAACGTCTCCTCCTCCTTTCTCGGTAAACTCGCCGAGCTTTGCACGTCACTCGTTTCTTTCACTTCGCCCTCCTCTCCTTTCAACTCGGGCGAGTCATTTCCCTCTCTTACTGAGTCGCAACTTCCTTTACCCGAATCCTCCTTAACCGGTTTATCATCGGTTTCATCTGTCCCGTTCCGGTTCGATTTTAATTCCGTTGATTCTTCGATTTTCCGGTTCGGTTCGATAACCGGAACGTCGGAGTTGTTAACCGTCTCTGTGATTTTAACCAGATCTGACGATTCGGTTCCCTTAACCGCCTCTTCCTCCTTTAAGCTCTTCTCTCTCTCATCTTCCAATCTCTTCACCTTCATCTGCAAAGACCTGAAACCGTAATGCAAAATCTGTAAACCGGACAAAACCGGAAAAATAAAAATAAAAATAAAAACAAAGAAAGTTGGTTTGATTGAGGAGATTACGAGATGGATAGATCGTAACGTTCGACTTCACGACGGAGCTCATCGACACGGAGCTTCCTCAGCTCCTCAAGCCACCAAGAGATCTCGGAGACGGTTTCTCCTCCCTCGGGGGAGAATCGTCTTTTGAGATCGTTGTATTTGTTACGACAGTCTAAACCGGTGAGGGGACGAGGAGAAGAGTTTTGTTTGTTGATTTCTCCGGCGACGGAGTCCCATGAATCGGTTCCGTGACGGTGAACGGCGCAGGCGAGGAGGAGCTCCTCCCATGTGCTCCATGTTTGGTTATTATTTTCAGGTTTCGACATTGAGACAGAAGAGTAAGGTTATGTCCGAAATGATCTTTTTCCTCTGCAAATCGTTGGCTTCCACTCAGAAGAAAACCTTTTGTGTGACTGATTATTTTATTTTATTTTCGTTCGTCGGGACAAATAATTTATGTTAGTGTTTATTACAAGGCGCACCAATGGAGAAAATGTTTTTGCTCGCTTTTGTCGGATCATGTAGTGGGCCCAGGCTATGACAACTGGGACTGGACCCCATGACCGATTTGGAACCAAATGCTCCAATCAAAGTAGTCTCCAGTTCTGGTTATTGCATTTAATATTTGATTTGTACGGAATGAGTTAATATAAACCACATTAAAGGCCCAGCCCATTTGAATCCTGATCAGATTTTATCACTCAATCAAATCAAGCTCTTTTGGAAATGGGTTTTAGTGTTAAGATTTTTCCATTGATCTTCTAGAACTTCTGGGTTGATATTCTTGTTCACTGAATAATACACTCTTAACAGTCTCCTTTGGGCCTGGACAAAAAAACAAAAACTGAAGAACCGAACTGAAATATCCGAAACCGATATCAAGCCGAAACCTCAAATACGGTTCTTATATTTATATATCCCAAATAACTATACCGAACTGAAACCGAAAACCGAATAGGTACCCAAATATATAATAATATTAGTTTTATACACATATAACATAACTAAATATATGATTTTAATTTAAAAATGTATTAAAGTTATCGAAAAAAATTGAAGAAAACTAAATAATTATAAAGGATCTGAACTACCCGAAATATACAGATAGTTTTATCTGAAATTTGTTTATAAATCGTTTTAAAAATTTATATTTTATCCTAAATAATCGATAATTTACCCAAACTACATGAACCAAACCAAACCGAAACCAAATGAAAACTTTTTTTTCCAAGTATTTTTTGGCTCCTAATTTTACTATCCAAACCCAAAACTATCCGAACCAAACCAAAAATAAGTAAAGTCGTAAATAGATCTTTTAGCCCCTATCTGATAATGCCCAGTCTACTCTTTAATATAAATACGTAGCAAATAACATGTCTCTTTCTAACCTTTTTGTAAAACCGGACTTGCTGGCAATCATCACCCAACACTCATCCAGATCCATCATACCACTAAACATCTACGACTAGATATCCACCTCTTAGGACTGAACATAATTAGCAACTCCAATGGAATCTTTAACATCCTTGCATAGTATGTAACTCTTTTAGTTCAAACAAACGTGCCCCTTCTATATACAATCAAGCTCATAGCTCACTGCCAACATATTATACTGATTCAAATCAAGCAATATCTAGTTTCAAAACATAATCTCATACTAAAACTCTTACAACTGAATTGACAAAATCCAAAACAAAGTTTTGAAGATAATCCCAACATCCAGTAGTAACTTAACGCATATATATATACAAATTCCAGAGACAAATTAAGAAAGGACGAATCAAAATGCAATTCTAGTGAAGTTTTGTTCACCTCTCAAGCAGCTCCTTTCAAGGCTTTCTTCAGCTCCTCCGCCACGTCACCCTCTCCCTTGCTTTTCTTCCCTCCACAATCCGACGCCGTTCTCTCGCTGCTCCTCCGCACATCACCTCTCGCTCTACCATTGCTGCTCCTCTCACCTTCACGTTGCTTTGATGAGTGAGAACCATAATCCACCGAAACGTTTGATGACGTCATCATCACTCCCCTAAGATCCTCAACAGCTCTCTTCAACTCTCTATTCTCCGACCGAAGCTCCTCCATAAACAAACACACCTTCCCCACATCAACACCACTATCCCCCGTGGGTTTATTATTAACCTCTTTACCACCGTCCACGTGTTCGATCCCGATCTTATCCATCACCAAAAAAGGAAACCTCCTCAGCGAAACCACAGCCGTCCGATCAAACTCCGTCGGAACCCTAACCCCCCACCTAAAATTCACCACCGCTCGTCCCCTCACCGGCAAACTCGTCCTCGCCGCAACCTCCACACCAGACAACAGCCCCGCGATATCTCCCTGAGTCACCGTCGCCGAAGACTCCACAATCTCAATCGACGAATCCTCCTCCGAGACAGATCCGTTGAGATTATTACCGTCCAATCTCGAAGAATGAGATTTCTTGACTGAGAAGTCGCCAAATTGGGGTTTAAAGTTGATCATGAAGGTGGGGTTCCGTTGACCGAGGAGGTTAAACTCTGCGCTCATTAGCATTGAGGTTGAGATTGGTGAGCCGAAGGAGCCGGTTCCGGTTTTGACGATGAGGGAGAAAGGGTTGTAAGAGTCGTTGGGACGGTAAGCGATTTTGAGAGAAGGGCCTGATTCGAAGAAGGTGGAGAGGTTTAGGGTGAGTTCTTTGGATTCTCCGGCGACGATTCCGGATTGGAAAGGGAGGCCGATGATGCTTAGAGGGATCTTGGCGCGGAAGAGTGGTTTCTTGTCTTCACGGAACTTCATTGATGCCTTCATGTTTTGAGAAAAAATGAAAAAATTGAGAGGAGATTGGTGTGGAGAGTGTGGAGATTGAAACCCTAGGAGCGGAGAGGTAGTAGTAAACTTGGAACCAAACACGTGTTTTTTTAAAAAAACTTAACTTTTTATTTAAGTTCGTTGACTAGGACGAAATGAAAGGTGGAGAAACCACTGTTTGGTTATCTGTTCCGCTTCTTGTCCGGTTTCTGTTTTTTTTGTTCCCTCTCTGTCTATATACATAAAGCCCGTGAGCATAAATGGGCCTCTTTGGGTCAAAACTTTTTTTTTTTTTTTTTTGAACAAGGGGTCAAAACTCTTACTTGTATTAATGTGGCTTGTAAACTGGACTCTCACGCATGAGGATAAGCCGATATGGCTGTGTTGGTAATGACTTTTGGCTTTAGGTTTTTAACATTGTAGAAACTTTAATGATTTTGAATGAAAAGCTGGTTTTATAGGCTTTGTAAAAAATAGTACATCGTTTTAGTGAACAAAGGTTTTAAAGGTTGTTAGATCAATAAAGTCTGATTGGGTAAATAATGATTTTCAAGGCTTTAGACTTATCTTAAAGGTTGTCCCAAAAAAAAAAAAGACTTAACTTAAAGTTTTTAAAGCCAAATCACCAATCGGACTTTAAGAGCCTAATACTGTTGATTGTGTCTCACGCTACTGTTTTTTTAGGTATCATCAACAATGTGGTTTATCCATTCACTAACATTAGGGGCATATAGGAAGACTTAAAAAGTGGAAACTAATCTTTCGTAGTGGCTAATTTGGAAGCTGGTGGGATAAGATTTGTCTGTAGTTAATAGTTAGTTTCTTTGTTGCCACATTTTGATACATGTACGTAATGTAATGAGAGCTCTTTTTATCATATGGGGTTTGTGTAATAAAATGGCATGTTTATTGAGGCTTTTAGGATGATGGTTTTTTTACACTTTTTAACTAAAAATCAGTTTTATATCTATTATTTAAAAATTAGTTTAAAATTTTTTAGTTAAAAACTAATAAACGTATCTTACCAAAACTAAATATTTTCTAAGAATCCCCAATAAATATATGAGAATCTTAATTCATAGAAGTATCCATAGACGAATTGGAATCTGAGTCAACACACAAGAGAGTAATAAGAAGGAAGAAAACGTTATAGAATGCAATTTCTCTTGGTTAAAAATATGAATCCCAAGAGGGATTCACTAATGGAGATGCTCTTAGTTCGTTTAGCTTGTTGCCAAAACCAACAAAAAACTAGGTTATGAACATAACAAAATCTGATAACGTGGATATATCCGCTTAAACAGACATGATATATCTTTATGTTGTGTAGCAAAAGTTTCCCATCTACAAACATGCATAGAATATCATTTTTGTTATCAAACAATAAACCCATTATTATTTCCCCAAAATAAATCATAGACAGTTGGATTTTAATACTTTTATCATGGTTTGTTGACAAAATGAAAATGTTTTTTTTTCTTTGTCAGGGGTCCACATTCCATCCAGCTAAGGAGCGATAGTACAAAGATTGAAACTGCGAACCACGTCAAACAGATACGAAGGAGGACCACAGCCAATACGGCTTAGCTATGTGCACGTGTCTGACATTCAGCGGCTTAGTTGCCCGCATGTGGGCCGAATCTAAAAGAGAGCACAAGACTCGTGTGTTCGAACTCTGAGTCCCTGACGCATGCATTTGTACAAAGTTCTAACCCTTTCGGTTAAGTTTCAGCTCTCTTTACTGTAGCTTTTAGATCACTTCCATATCATGTCTACATCCGATGGCTATTATGCGTTGTAATCATACACCATTGACTCTATTTCTCTCTATATATAGCTTAAATAATATAAACCCAAGTGAGATCGTGCAACAAAAACCTAGGGGCTTATTTTATTTAAGGTTAAATATGTTTCTATAAAGATGATCTATCACTACAAGAAAACTCGTCCATTACTAGGGCAGGTTTTCCTCGTTAGTTCCTAGTAAATGGCCTTTTACTAGGAACTTACGAGGAAACGCGTTTCGTCGAAACACGTTCATCGTAAAGCCTTTTTCCGCGTAAAGTCGTAGTAACCACTTTCCTCGTAATTTCCTAGTAACCATTTTCCTCGTAATTTCCTAGTAACCACTTTCCTCGTAATTTCCTAGTAACCACTTTCCTCGTAATTTCCTAGTAATGCTTTACTAGGAATTTACTTCGAAATGTTTTTCCACTTTCCTCGTAATTTCCTAGTAATGCTTTACTAGGAATTTACTNTTTCCTCGTAATTTCCTAGTAACCATTTTCCTCGTAATTTCCTAGTAACCACTTTCCTCGTAATTTCCTAGTAACCACTTTCCTCGTAATTTCCTAGTAATGCTTTACTAGGAATTTACTTCGAAATGTTTTTCCACTTTCCTCGTAATTTCCTAGTAATGCTTTACTAGGAATTTACTTTGAAATATTTTTCCCTATTTAAAAAAATAATTAAAATAAATATAAATAATATATTTTAAAAAATTAAAGAATCCAAATTATAAATAAAAAGAAATAACAAAATATTTTATAAATAACTAAATATTTAAGTTTTAAATTCATATACAATTAAAGAGAAAAAAAAAACTAAACTACGGATGTTGCTCGTTAAAATTGACGAACGAAGTCGTCATCCCGGCTCGATAACTAGTATCATTAATATACTAGTATCATTTAAAAAAACAGTTAAAAAATTAAATTAACCTAATTTAAATTCCCTAAACTAACCACCTAATCTAAATTCTCTAATCTAACCACCTAATCTAAATTCCCTAAACTAACCACCTAATCTAAATTCCCTAATCTAACCACCTAATCTAAATTCTCTAATCTAACCACCTAAGTAGGAAATAGAGAGAGCCTTAAGAGAATTCAGAGAGAAGCTTACTACAAATGAGAAATCGGATCGCTCGAGTTTATATAAGGAATTTTGTTTCCTCGTAAGGCCCTAGTACCATTACTAGGCCTTTACGAGGAAATAGCTATGCCTGTGTTTTTATTTCCTCGTAAAGTCCTAGTAATACCATTACTAGGACTTTACGAGGAAACTGCTTTACTAGGAAATAGCTATGCCCGCGTTTTTTTCCTCGTAAAGTCCTAGTAATAACATTACTAGGACTTTACGAGGAAACAACTATGCCCGCGTTTTCTCTTACTAGGGCTTTACGAGGAAATGGTTTGTAAATCCCTAAACTCGAAACCCCAAACCCCAAACCACAACTTCCTTAACTTATAACCTCTTCTACAACCANAAAGTAGGTACAAAATTTAAATTCGATATTTTCTATCTAGTTCCTCTTAATTTCGTAGTAACAAAACTCATTCCTCTTAATTTCGTAGTAAGCAATTACTAGGACTTTACGAGGAAACTGCTTTACTAGGAAATAGCTATGCCCGCGTTTTTTTCCTCGTAAAGTCCTAGTAATGTTACTACGACTTTACGAGGAAACTATTTTCTCGTAAGTATACGAGAACCTTACGAGGAAACATGGTTTCCTCGTAAACTCGAAGTAAACTCGTAGTAATTTTACGAGGAATTATTTTCCTAGTAAAGTTTCCTAGTAAATGTTTAGTTTTCTTGTAGTGGATTCACGTATATGTCCTGTCCTCTTTAGTTAACAAATTTTTGTGAAGCTTATAAAAATTAACATTCTTCTCTTAACGTATTTTAGGTTCTTAGCATATATATAGAATCGCAAGCTGTCTTCATTAATTTATTATCTTGCAAAGTTGGCACATAGAGCAAGAGATATTATCTAGATAATATATATAGCTATGCATATTGGTATATTCTCTTCTGATTGTGGATGATCACATATATAGTAATGAACTTGCTGTATATAGATTTTTGATTTGTTCTAGATAATATACATGTATAATACGTGTTAACTTAGTAAAATTTTACTCCTTCAAGTTTTGTTTGTCTGCTGAATCAAAGGTGTTAAGTTTAGTTTTGTAATTTGCATTCGTAATTTTATAAAGAATAATGAAAACAATAAGAAAAAGATGAGAATATTAAAATAGACGTAAGGAAGTGAAACTGCCTCGTGCATTATGAGAAGAAGGACGTGAGACAACTAAATGTAAAAGATAAAGTGAGAGTCACCAAAGAGTCATGCCATCTCCATGTCTTCACATTCCACTTTATCATCTATCCCCAACTTCTCTACATTATTGTCTTATTTTCTGATTAATTAGTTTTTGTTCTGATTAAATTCTTTTAATCATTGTTATGTTATACTTATACATGCGTGTGTGTATATAACCTAGTTAGTATATGAACTATGAAATGTTTGATTTAAACAGAAAACGCAGTGTTCTTTTCTGGTTATACCTAATTAGGTTAAATATGAAACTTATGCAAATTAAAAGTCCAGATTATAGTATATGTAAAGATCAAAGATGGATCTCTACCATCAACTAAACAGAATATAAATATATAAGAGAATATTTTATTCATGGGAAAAAAACAATCATAAGTTTGTTGAGTTTTTGTGCATTACATGGGGCCAAGTTTGTGGAATCCTACTTATCTATTAATTTAATCGGTTAACTAGTACCACCTGCATTTATCTATCATAAGCACATACAGACAGAGAACATAAATATTTCAACATTGTGAAAAATACATAAAAAATTAGCTATATATTATAGAAATTACAAATGACCATTTGGTTAGTGGGAGGGGACCAAATGCGCTTCAGCTATTTCATGTCTTGGAAGACATACTTTACACATAACTACATGTAATTCTTTTAAACTAATTGACCCAAAGTTTCCTTTGAATTTACATGATGGTTATAAACTTTGTATATACATGTGTGTTAGATTCATTACAAAAATATTAATAATCCATTTTTCTTGCCTACATCTTATAGTTCGTACATATATATATATATGCATAACCATATTCAAGTATTTAAGTTGAAGAGGAATGATTTAAATTATTTGCCAACATCTCATAGCTCGTATATTTATATGCCTAACCATATTCCTTTGTCCCCCTATATAACGTACCTTCCCATATCTCCACTTACTATCAAATTCACCAACCACATCTTTTTCTCTTCTAACAATCAACCCTAATAACTCCAAAAATGGAAGCCACCATCTTCAAGGAGAGAAGAACCTCATCATCAGCCCTAGCGATGCACAAACAATCATACTCAATAACCAAATCAAAACCAAAGATCCGTATAATTCACATATACGCACCTGAGATCATCAAGACCGACGTTGCCAACTTCCGTGAGCTCGTGCAAAGTCTAACCGGGAAACCAGAAGACCGTGGCGTTTCCAAGACAAAGCCAAGAAGAGATACTCATCGTCAAGTACAAGACATGAACAACATGGTGAAACTAAGAGAAGTGGAGCGTTATGATCAAGGGTTCTGTTTAAACTCAGAGATGGAAGAGATCTCTATGACTTGGAACGGTAATAACGGCGTTGGTGAGAGCTCTGGAGGGTTCTTGAATGGTCTGGGAGATTTTGAAGGGTTTATCCAAGAACTTGGTGAATTTCCCTATTTGCCCTTGACATCCATGGATGTTTCTGCCTCTTCTAATTCATCATCTTCCTCTCATTTACATGGTGGATCAGTTTTCTCAGATTCTCACCACCAATTTGTGTGACTCTCTCTCTCTCTCTCCCTGTCTCTCAAACGAAGTAACCTTTTCTTTTTAAGTGATATAATTTATTTTGTTTATTAGGTTTTTGTGAAAATAATTTCCATTTATTATTTTTGTTTTATATGAAGTTAACTAATGTATCTTATTGCATGAAAAGCTTAGACTCCTTTTAATTCTCCATTAATGTCTCATGAGTTCATCGTGTCAAGCATGTTACATTTACATTAATGATTAACTTCTTTTTTTTTTTTGCACGTCCTCTAAGCGATTGATATATAAACGAAAGATGCTTAATATGAGCTAATCAATTTATTTGGTATTAGAAGTAATTCAGTTTGTATTCAGTTGTTTTGACATTTACAGACTTATACAGAGGAACACAAAGCACCAATGTCTCTTTGTTAGGACTTAGGAGACTCGATCGTCAATGAAACAATCTTGATGATCACTATCTTTATACCGATTAACTTCGTCTTTACTAACTCTATCATTTGTGTCCAAAAGTTACATGCTACCAAATGGTTTATCATTCTTGACTACAAATATAGATGATCAATACTGGATGCATTGATATTGGTACATAATATAACAACACATTAAACCGGTGATATTACAGTCCTAAAAAAACACATATAAAACCGTGATATGAGGTGGAAAGTAGGGAAACCCGCAAACCTGTTGCGGGTCAATCCACAAAAAAAAACACATTCCACAACGACCAAATCGGCGACTAAGACCATCTCCAATAAAAGATTGGTGGATTTTTAGCAGAAAATAAGAACCCATCTCTTAACTTTTAACTAAAAAAGTTAAGAATCGGTTCTTAATCAGAATCCCGCTGTAAGAACTCTCATTAAAGATGCTCTAAACCTCTACAAAAAAGCAGAATCGAAATCAAACCGAAATAACTAAAATCGAAACCTCACTAAAACTTTCAACTACCCGAACCGACCTGAAACCAAACCCATATATACTAAATTGATCATTTGGTTTTCTATCTGAATTATCCGATAACCGAATACACTAACCGAACCGATATCCTAAATGGGCTACAGCAGATTGTTTCCAGATACTTGGGCCTCACCCTCAGGATAGCCCAATTTGACATCAATAGGCCCGATGACTGGTCTTGAGCAGTTGAGTGTAGTAGGTAAGCCATGAATCTTTGTCGCCGCCGGAGATGATCGCCGCCGTCAGAGCAGCGTTTCTCAAGCCACAAGGCTATTCTTCCAACGTCAAAACCGTATTCTTGTTCCATTCGACTCCCATCCTACAACGCAAACATAAATCCGTCAGCCTCTTTCCTCTTCGTTTTCTTCTTCTGCACGTTTTGGTTGTATGCTTATTCTTGTGCTACGGATTATATATATATAAATATAAACCACATTTGACATGTGTGACAGAACTCAGAGACCCGAAACAAAAAGTTGTCAAGAAGTAGGGCAAAGCAAGACTTGCGTCGTAACGTGAATGCTTTTGCAGAACACTTGTTTGGGGTAATGTCTTAATATGTCTGAACCTTTTTATTTTTACATTTTAAAAGCTCTCTTAGTGTTTCAACAGATATGGAGTGATGGGTTTGATTACTCTGAGAAGCCCACCACGTGGTTCGAGAAACAGTACTTTAGGGTTTGCAAAAGAAACCGGATTGGTAGATACATTCATCAGCGTTTGGATAAAAGTAAGACAACACACTCTTCTATGTCTGAAAACTATTCTATAAATAGGTCTCTGTTACTTATATAGAATGCTTATAGAGTTTGTAAAAATAAAAAGGGATCAGTTTAATGAACTTTTAGACTCTTGGTTTTGTTGGTTTTCAATATTATTTTTTGATCGATTGTGTCGTAGGTTGTTTTGATTTCAGCGGAGTTGATGATGATTGTGAAATTGAATACTTTCTAAGGAGTGCATTGGGTGGATCCTATAAAGAGAGGAAATCTCGATGGAGAGCACGTCATTTTTATGGCTCAAATACACATGAAGACGACGGTGAAGCTGGCTCGTGGAGGTTTTCTAACAAAAGCAGTGGACGGTCTTGGGACTCAAGGCAACGACTAGATCAAGAAGAACAAAAAGAAGAGGAACATTCTTCAACAGACTTTAGCAACATAGATTCGAGCGAGCAGTCTCATAGACACACCCTTGGTCTAAGTTCCTCAGGTCCCTTAAGCCTTGAAGATGTAAAAAATGCGTAAGTAAATATATTAGTTACTTTATCTCATCAGAGGCATACTATATATATAGTTCTAACATTGATCTTACTCTAAAATCTTTGCATGCAATATTCAGATACCGAGTTTGTGCATTAAAATGGCATCCAGATCATCACGATGACTCTACCAAGGTAACCTATACCAATCTGTAGTCACTACTTTGTTGTTGTTTTTAGCAACTTAATGTGAATGTGTTTTTCTCGACACTGATTACGAATTCTTATGATGAACACACAGGATGCAGCTGAGGAAAAGTTCAAGCTATGCAATCTGGCATATCAATCATTATGCGAAAAGTTTGCCATGAACTAATAGGATTATTGTTAGATGGACACGGTGATAAGAGCTGGATAGGAAATATATGAGTTGCTAAAGATTACAAGAGAACTGTTTTTTTTTTTTTTTTTACAGATTTGGTACGTGTTACTTCTTGACAGAGGCCCTTGGTCCAAGCGGATGAAGTCCATACTTCCGGCCACTTCTAAATAAATAAAAAACCATCCACAAAATTTTTAAAAGTATCTTTAGCTTAGTGGTTTATTTGTCGGTTATGCTTCTTAAGCTATTAGTCCCTTTGGAGTTGCTAAAGATTTTAGCGAGTTGTTTAAGTAGAGTCATTGGCCTTGAGAACTTAGCAAACCAATTAAATATAATTAAATATAATTAAAGTATATACCTTTTATATTGAAAACGAAGAAAATGTATAAAAGGTTAAGCATCTAAACATGGGTTTTTTAGACCAAAATGGAGGACACCTATTGAGATTTTGGGTATATACATTTAATAGAAATCAAATTTACCTTTCAACTTTTTGTCCTCTTCTGGTTATAATTACTTTTTCAAGATTAAATAATGATTAAAACTATATAGAGAAGTCCACATAATAGCTCCATTTTTCTTTCTAATAATAAGAAAAGAAACAAAAAAAATGATTCTCATAATTCCCTAGCCGTCCGATTTCAGATAATCGCGTGGAAGGAACTTAAAACCGGTCTTACCCTAAACCGAACCGTACCAGATTCTCTCCTTCTTCCTTCTCTCTCTGCTTAGCCTTAATTAGACAAAGATTTAGACGTTTTTGTAATCTCTAAAGGTGCGAACTTTCCATGACGTAATTAGCTAAAGCTTTGAGCTTTGTGTTCTACCTGATCGATTAACCATGCCCTAATCCCAGCTCCACGTCTAGGTCGTTCATTTTTGGGTAAGATTTTGATTCTTTTTTCGAGTTTTTCCTGAGCTGAATTTTACTGGATCGTGAATCGACAGAATTAATTTGAGTTTTTGGTTTTTTTTTCTCATTTTGCAAGGTTGTGGGAGCGTATCCCGTTCGAGGGTCCACCTATTCGGTGTCCAGTACATGTCCGGTTCTGTAGAGTGGCAGTAAGGGTGACTTATCTGTCAACTTTTCCACTATCACCCAAAACATGTGCCGATTACAAAAAGATAAGTGGATTTTTTGGAGTAGTTCTTAGGGTTTGTCTCTACATCTGATCTTGAATTCAACTTTTTTTTCTATTGTAAAGTTCAAGACTTTTTGCTATATCTTTGCTTCTGTATTTTGTTAATTTCACTTGGACTTAGCTTTCATAAGTCTGGACTTTGTCTCTTGTTCCTAAACGTTGTGTGTGTTTTTTACTCTATAGTTAGATTGAAACCCAATGTTCAAGAAATAGTTATGCAGTGTTAGGCACCTTCTAGATTAGTATTGTTACTAGACCAATTTTTTGAACGCCAAAACTGACTTATTAAAAAAATTGGATTGAAAAGTTTGTTTAGTGCCGAGTAGACCAATTTTTAGAACACTGTTGAAAACTATGTGCCTGTAAAGAAAGCTAGATGTTAGTTTTGTTTTGTGAGAGATATTACTTTCTTTGTTCATCTTTTCCAAGTTTAGTCATCCTTTAATATTGGCTCATTTGCTTATCTTTCTTGCAGAATAATAAAGTTCACCACGGATTACCACAAGTGAAAGAAATAGTCTTCTTTTTTTGTTTGTTTATTGATGGGTGAGAAGTTAGCTAACACAATGAACCTGGACTTGAATCTAGGCCCTGATCCTGAGTCAGATCTTCAGGTAATGACAAATGAAACTGTGAACTTGGCTCATTGGACTAATACCCTATCTGAGAGATCCTCTGAAGCTGTGACGAGGATCAGAACCCGTCACAGGACGCGGTTCAGACAGCTTAATCTCCCCATCCCTTTTCTGCTGAAACCCATGCCATGGATATAGAACTGAACCAGTTGATGGGAAGTTCTGTTAATAGAGCTGCTTTGCAGACTGGTGAAGGTAGTGAAAGAGGTAATGAGGATCTGAAAATGTGTGAGAACAACGGGGGAGAAGATATTGGGGACAGTGTGTCAGAGAAGAAAGGGGATGTTGAGAAGAACAGTGGCGGTGGTGATGGTAACTTCTTTGATTGTAATATATGTTTGGATATGTCAAAGGAGCCGGTTCTCACCTGTTGTGGCCATCTTTATTGTTGGCCTTGTTTATTCCAATGGCTACACATCTCTGATGCAAAGGAATGTCCTGTTTGCAAAGGAGAAGTGACAGCTAAAACCGTGACACCTAAAACCGTGACACCTATCTATGGGTGTGGGAACCATAAAAGAGAAGTTGAAGAGAGTATAGATACCAAGATCCCTATGAGACCACATGCTAGACGCATTGAGAGTTTGAGGAATACAATTCAAAGGTCTCCTTTTACAATACCGATGGAGGAAATGATTAGACGTATACAGAGTAGGTTTGAGAGGGACTCAACCCATGTCCCTGATTTTAGTAGTAACCGCGAGGCGTCAGAAAGAGTGAATGACCGAGCCAATTCGATTCTTAACCGGTTGATGACTTCTAGAGGAGTTAGATCAGAGCAGAACCAGGCTAGTGCTGCAGCATCAGCTGAGGATATTAATGTAAATCCAAACATTGCTGCCCCTGATCTTGAAGGAGAAACCACAACGAGATTCCATCCTCTGTTAATCAGGAGACACCTGCAGTCACATAGAGTTGCAAGGATCTCGAACTTCACTTCTGCATTGAGTTCTACTGAAAGGCTTGTAGACGCGTATTTTAGAACTCATCCATTGGGGAGGAACCACACCCACCAAGAGCTGAACCATCATTCTCCTGTTGTGGTTGATGATAGAGACTCTTTCTCAAGCATTGCAGCTGTTATAAACTCTGAGAGTCAAGTGGATACTGCAGTTGAGATTGATTCCATGGTCACTCTTTCGACATCTTTTTCGAGGAGAAGGAATGAGAATGGGTCGAGGGTTTCTGATGTAGACAGTGCAGATTCTCGCCCGCTTAGGAGGAGGAGATTTACTTGAAACAAAAGCTTTCAATCTCTGGAAGATGATGATGAGGAAGAAGAAGATTGTAACTGTAATTTTTCTTTTTATGTTGTTGCTTGTTGGTTTGTTGTATTTTGATTTGTAATTTTTTCAATAGGGATGGTATTTTTAATCAAAGTTTTGTTATCTTTTTCAGAAACTCTATTCTAATTGAGCCTAAACAATTTCCCAACTCATTGAATCCAATGTGGAATGTGAGTTTTATTTGACTAGCAGTGGACTATCATACAAGATGCATCTATATACATAAAACTGTTGGTTTTAATATCAATAACAAAACATTAACTACTATTATGTAAATTCATTCTGTGCAAACAAGTCGCTTTGGCCGAGTGGTTAAGGCGTGTGCCTGCTAAGTACATGGGGTTTCCCCGCGAGAGTTCGAATCTCTCAGGCGACGTTTCTTTTTATCAATATTACTTTTCCTTATGTGGTAACTTATAACTTTTTGTTCTCGGAAAAAACCAAGATACTTTGAGCAGTGTACATGTCACATGCGCGCAGCAACTTCCGACACGTAAATTATTCTTTTGAATGATTTACTCTCATATGTTTTCTTTTCAATTATTTCAGTGCTGGTTAGAACATCATTCTTATTTTATAGCATAATATTCTTTTTTTCTTGGCAATATAAAAATCACCGCTTAAAATACGATTCCACAAAACGGAATTCTTCAAACCATTTGCAGGCTTTTAGCATTTAAAATCGGAATAACTTAGTATAAGCTGTAAACTTGTAAGGGTCTGTTTAGCTGAAAAATGATGGACAAATTCTACAAAAAATTTTTGCTTCCAAAAAAAATTCTAAAAATTTAAAAACAAGTCTAAATTCCGTGAAGAAACTTAAAGCTAAATTCAAAAACAAAATGAAAATGATGTGTGCGGGAAACGAGCGTCATCTCGTTAGTCGATGCACGAATCGAGCCAATAAGATATTTTATTTTTTTAAATTGGTTATTACATCTTTTCGTAATTGCTCATTACTTTCATAATTCGTAATAAAGAATTGACTTTTGGAGCCTCATTTCAACGTCTTTACCTGCTCTTTCTGCTTCTTTTGTTTTTACTCAATATATATATATATATATATATATATATATATATATATATTTTCCTTCTTTTGGTCTGTACATTAGAATTTAAAAACTTGAAAGATGTGACAAAAATACTAAGAAAATAAATATTGCGTTGTAACGCAAACGCACCATAGAATAGAAGAAACAAATAAAAATAATTAGTAAGACAGTACAAAATCTAATAAATATAAAATAATTGTAATTAAGGGAGATTAATATATAGTAGTATTGCTTAAATAAAAGGAACCAAACACCACCATGGTTAATTGTAATGATTCGGTATGTTTTTTAAAAAAGTGGAATAAAGACAAAACAGAGACCACAACCATTAATGACTTTCATCGATACCAACAAGACATGACCTCCTCCCGTCTCTTTTCAATTTCTGAGTAATCCAGATTTTTATTTTTTTCTCAATAATCCGTCGTTTCTCGTTTTGATTTGAATCTGATACAAACAAAAACACCGGTAAACACGTGAACGTCAAGTCTCCTGTTTTGTTTCCAGGTAATAATCTTCTTCTTCTTTTGAATTTGTTTTTTTTGGGGGTTAAAGATTGAGTATCGTCGAATTCTTAAATTGGGTTTTCGGGTCGGATTCTCGGGTCGATGATTCATCTTGAAAGGTCAAAACTTTCGAGTTTTTGGGAAAACCCTTACTCTGTTTTTTTTTTTTTTTTTTTAGTTTCAGGGATGGATTGTTTGAATATTGTTTCAAAAGGGTAAATAGAATGTTGGAGATTTATGATATTTGAGGGTTTTTTTTTTTTTGAACATAGTTTTCTGCTTAAAAACGTGGTTTGAATTTTTAAAAGTAAAAATCTTTTTTTTTTTGGTTAATTGCAAATGTTGAAACCTTGCTTGCACGATCTTTATTAGCTGTCAAAGTGTTAGATTTGCTGATTCTTGTTCTCGTTAGATTTTATATTATTTTGTTTTGTCTGTCTATTTAGATTAAAAAGGAACATTTCTTTTTGTTTGTTTTTCTCTGTTGATGTTTGATAGTTCTGCAATTGATTACTGTTGCAAAGGTCTAGCTTTTAGCATTTGTTCATAGCTTGAGTGAGGATTATTGCTTTGGTACATATCTGAAAGTGCATTTAATGTTTCTTTGCTTCAATTGTTTGTTTTACTTTTGAGTTGTTTTATTTTATATACTTTAGTTCCTTAGGAAGCTAAACACATTCCATAAGTTAAGTAAAAAAACTAAATTAGTATCAAGATATGTGATTGCTAAGTTTGACATGTGAATCATATATGCTTGTGTTGTTTTTTGATTCCTTTTTTTTTCCTCTTGCAGAACAACAAATAGATCCAAAAAGAGCAAAATCATCATCTGACTACAAAGTGAAAAAACAAAAGGCAACAAAGTTTTTGAATTAAGGAATTGGAATCACCATGGCTCCTGGAGGCAGTGCTTTGAAAGAAGTCCTTGAATCTACTTCAACGGGAATGGACTACGAGGTTAAAATTGCCAAAGTGGAATCTAACAATACTAGTAACAAACCTACAAAGTCAAGCAGCGCAGGTGTTGGTAAATATGGGATGCATTCAAACAATGGTGTCTACGAGCTTCTTGAATGTCCTGTGTGTACAAATCTAATGTACCCTCCAATTCATCAGGTTTGTCACTTTTTCTCTCCTTGTTAAAGATTTTGTTATAGCAAAGCTTAACGTTGTTTAACTCAACAGTGTCCAAATGGCCATACCTTATGTTCAAACTGCAAAGCGAGAGTACAGAACACTTGTCCTACATGTCGTTACGAGCTTGGTAACATAAGATGCTTAGCTCTCGAGAAAGTTGCAGAGTCCTTGGAAGTTCCATGCCGGTACCAGAGTTTAGGGTGTCATGATATTTTCCCTTACTACAGCAAGCTTAAGCACGAGCAGCACTGCAGGTTTAGGCCTTACGCTTGTCCTTATGCTGGCTCTGAGTGTTCGGTTACAGGGGATATCCCCACACTAGTTGTTCATTTGAAAGATGATCATAAAGTGGATATGCATGACGGCTGCACTTTCAACCACCGTTATGTCAAGTCAAATCCACATGAAGTCGAGAATGCTACATGGATGCTTACGGTATAGTTTTCTTGTTTCATTATGGTTTCTTGTTGTGATGGGCACTTGGCTTTTCAGTTGGGGTCTGTTTGGGTTATTCGGTTTTTGGATTATTGGGGTTGGCTGTTTAGGACATGTTAGGGAACAGACATTTTCTGTAATGTTGGTGGGTATTGTTTCTATATTTTTTTAATAGAACTCCAAGTGGAACCGAATTAGAAATAGTTCATGTTCGGAAAAACCCAAGTTAAACCTGAAAACCCGAGTTGAACCTGAAAACACTGATAAAATAATCGGGTAATTTGGGTTTCTAAATTTATAAAAGTTTCAAAATAATTAATATTTTTATTATACTTCAAGTATTCGGGTAGCTGTTTGATTCTTGGTAGCTGTTTGGTTCTTGGTTCGATTTCGTTTTTTGAGTTAGAGAAATAGGAACCGTTCGGATTTTTGTAAATTGCGGTGGTTTCGTTTTTTCGTTCTGTTCCAGTTCGGGTTTCAGATAATATTGACTAGTTTCTTGCAACACCGTTAAGGCTAGTTAAGTTCTATCTGATAGGGATTCTTGGTCTCATTTTCACATTAATCCTCCAATACATGTTGCTTTACACTCTAACTTGCATTTTGGTTTCTAGGTGTTCAACTGTTTTGGGAGACAGTTCTGTTTACACTTTGAAGCGTTCCAGCTGGGGATGGCTCCAGTGTACATGGCATTCCTTCGTTTCATGGGAGATGAAAACGAGGCGAAGAAGTTCAGTTACAGCTTGGAAGTAGGAGCTCATGGACGTAAACTAACATGGCAAGGGATCCCTAGAAGTATCCGTGACAGTCACAGGAAAGTTAGGGACAGTCAAGACGGTCTCATCATCCCAAGAAACCTTGCACTCTACTTCTCTGGAGGTGATAGGCAAGAACTCAAATTAAGAGTGACCGGTCGAATCTGGAAAGAAGAGTAAACGAAGCAACAAAGAACTGATTGAAGATTTGATGTACATAAGAAGAAGTCTCTCATGTAGAGCTAATGATCATATGGAAGTATGTTTTAATGGATTCTTTTCCAATGGGGATGAAGATGATGATGATTATCTTCTATGATGAATCAGTTTGGAGGGAGCCATTGTTACCATCTCTGTACTTTTTGGTTTCTTTTGTTGTTGGGTCTGTGTGGTTTCAGACAGGGAATGTTGGAAAAGACACATGATTTTTGGCTATGTTCTTGTTGTAAAACCATGTCCGAAACAGTTTGGTGCATTTTTTTTCTTTGTTTAATGTTTACAGTGGTGATTTTGATGCAAGAACATCACTGGAACCTTTGTAGAGCCTACATGGCTACATAGATGTCAGTTCCCACATCAAGCAGATAAAAACTCTTTAGTGCTGAGATGCAGTTGAATTAAACAAGAATAAGCCAAACTTATCATTATATTTCCCATAAATAGATGCTAAATTGTTAGCTTTATTCGTGCGTGAAGAATTGAAAGAGCTTGATGGTTACTGAGAGGAGGTGACCAATGTTATGCAGGAGACTACTAATACAAAAACGTGAAAAACAAAAAGACTTGTCACAGACACATGCTAGTTCTTGTTTTAATCTCCTAAACGTTTCTCACTTTTATGTGTAAACACAATCTCAAAACACACATAAATTTAGAGCCTACTAAATAAAATGTCATATTAAGTATGTTAGCATGTGTCCCAACTAACTAAAATGTCATTTTAAGTATGTGAAATGTTTTATGATTTGAAAAATGTAAATGTCTAATATCCAACGAAGCAGTAGGTTATTTAAAACAAACAATTGATAGCAAGGAATTCATCAAATGGTTATGAATCATGCGGACTTCTAATTTATTAATAAAGAGTTAGACATGGACTCACATAATCTCAACAATTATTTCAGTACAAGAACATTAAAAAGAAAAAAAAACAAGCAAAAACACATACATTCACATATGTATAGTTCTCTCATAAATCATTTGGGATTGTAGAAAAAATAGAATGTTCTGGTTTGTGGTGGCATTCAAAATCGAGATGAACAAAGGCTCTTTCCACTTCGGGAAGTTCTTCAAGCTTTATTTGCAATGATTCACCAATTGCATGAGCTTCTTTCAATGGTAAATCCTCTGGAAGTTCTATATCCACCTGCCAACACACACATAAATAACATTATGCAACCTAATTACTAATCAAACAATTCTTATAAATTTATGATCAATTTAAATTATGTAAAAAAGTAAGAAAAAATAATCTATGTATTGATCAAGTGCATTAACTTGATTTATAACTTCTTAACTATATGTTTGCAACATGAATGTATATACATATATAGACGTACCTCGACAAAGTAAAGAACACCAAAGGTATAGGCACGAACGGTATCAACACGTTTGATGTTATCAGCGCCTTGTCGCAATACTAAGTATGTTAACTTTTGCAGTACTTCCGGAGGAGCTGATTGTCCGATCAATGAGACTACATATATATAAAAACTTATGATAAATAACTCCATTGATGTTGTTAATTTGAATTGTAACATTGAGTTACAAATTGTACCCGCATTTTCCATAACGGTCCCTGACCAATTGATAATAGTGTAGATGGCTAAGAGAATAGCACCAGCTGGATCGAGCCACCAATAAAAAGCATTTCCAAGAACAGCCGCAACCAATCCAAGAACGTTTGTTACCACATCAAAGTAATGATCCTATATCAAATGTCATCTATTAATTCCCATGAAATTATGAAAATATACACACACACACATATATATATATATATATATATATATTACCTTTGCGTACGCACGAACTATATGATTCCTCGAGCTTCTACAGTAGATCCATAAGACGAGTTTAATAACCGTTGCACTTAGCATGATTGAACATAACCAAACCAATTGGTCATGACTCATTTTCTCAGAAGGTTTATTTGCAATCAATTGTTCAGCTGCCTCAAGCAGTACTTGGAACCCTACACAAATGTATATGGTTAAATTAGCATTACATTTTCACCAAGAAACTTGCAGTTAATATATAGTTTTGAATTGTATAAGTTTTTTATACAAATATATATATACCAAGAGTGGCCATAACGGCGGCAAAAATGATGATTCCAACGGGTTGCACCCTAAGTTTTCCAATGGGATATTTGTAAATATTTATGTTTTTCATTGACAAATGTGTAAACCAAAGTATTCCTCCTGCCATTAGATCAAGCAAAGAGTCGAGTGTTGATGCTGCAACCGCTATGGATCCACTCTTTATCGTAGCATATATCTACACGTTATATAAAATTTGATGAACATATTATATATAGACATCACATACCATTTTGAGTAATAGATCAACATTTCGTTATAAAAAAAAAAAAAAAGACATCACATAACGTTCAGATCAATGTATAGGAATAAGTCAATAAAAATAAGTCACACCTTGAGAGCAAGTAAAAAGATGTTAGCCCAATTGGAGATTTGCATGGCTCTCTCTTGTGCAGCTCTCTCGGCTTGATCTTCCACTTGGCTTTGTTCATCGAGGACATAATTTTCTGACCGTGCTACAAAACTTTCTACTTCCTCAAAGGATTTTAATGTTGCCAATTGTCGTTGGTAGTACTCCTTCTCGTCTTTAAAAATCATAACATTTTAGAAAGCATTTCTTTTCATAGAATTATCATCTAACTTATAAAGTAAGACACTAATTAAATTTATGTCTGTATATATACTTACCTCTTTTGAGACCAACGGCTTTGGAGACATCAATGTGGAAAGGGTCTTCCGGATCGATTTTGGATTGAAGTTTCTTAGGTAAATCCTTGAAAAAGTTCGATTTCATCTTAGAAACGTTACCGAATAACTTCCGTTTATGAACCTTAGCCTCATGATCCTTTGACCAAAGCAACGGTGTTTCCATAGAGTTGACTTCTATTTTTTGAAAATTATCGTCGAATGAGCATGAGATAAAGCATGGAAAGTTTAGTTGAATTTGAAGGTGAAAAGAAAACTCTTAGAGTGAATTAATAAACAAAATTAGGAAATATATACCGTGATATCCAGAGGAAATCTTCTGCTTGGAGATGATGAACAAAGAGGAGGATAAAGAATTGTACACAAACACTTGCTTTATAGATAAATATAAAGAATTTATATAGGATTTAGTTGATTTTTTGGGGAGTAATTAATAAATATTGTATGAAATAAAGATGTGACTGAGATAAGACCTAGTACTTGCTCACATGACTCAACAAGGCTTGTCTGATTAACGCCTCAATCAGGAGCTTCTTGTTTCGTGATGATTTTGTCTTCAGGGAACATGGCAAATGTCATTTTATTATTGGACTAAACGACACATGCAATTTATATTTATTTATTTATTTAAGAATCGATTCTTAATTTTTTAATTAAAAATTAAAAAAAAACAGATACTTATATTTCATTAAAATTCCCGCCCTAAGAACCTTACAATCGCAATGGTCTAATTGCATCAAAAATGAACCAGCTTTCCCAAACCTAGTCTTGGAGTATAGGTACTATATACTTGCATTGCATCAAATGAATGTCTCAACAAAAATCAAATGTAGAAAGTTATAAACTAATACAAGTAAATGAAACCTTCAAAATTCAATAATGAACGGTCTGAGATCCTTTGAACTTGTGAATGGGTAGTATTATTAGTTAAGGTTTAAGACTTTAAGAGCATCCAAATAATATACAAATTAATTAAATTTGACAAGAGAGCCCAAAGAAAAGTATGTGAAAATATAAAGTCAACAGCCTTTAGAATCTAGACCTATATCTATAACATGAACAAGTGTATGATGACACATATAGATCTGTAAAAAATGTATTAAGTAATAGTGTCATACTCTATCAAAACTATTTTGTAAATATCACATAGAATAAACAAATACCCACATACGTTAGCACGTTCTCTACAAATTTCATATCCTAGTAATTTTCGCCTGAAATTAGATATTTTACAGATAATCTAATGTATAGAATTTTTGGCAATACATTTAAGTAACCATCAGGAACATGCCCGGAAGCTTACTGATTTCAAATCATGATTTCTTTATCTCTGACTTTTTCTCTAAGAAATTTAGGAAAACAATTAGAACCATGCATGTAGCTTGCTTGAATTTGTTTCACTATTTTAATTAGAAAATCTCAAATTATATCTCGATCAACATCTTATACGTTATATATATATGATCGATGTATAAGCAGCTGTGTATAAGTAAATATTACCTCTCCTCATCATTTATATCTTGTTCTATTGTTCTCTGACATTTCTTAAGGTTGAATTACTCGTATGTTACCCAGTGCATATGTCCATACGTTGATTGATGAGTAATAAAACGTATGTAACCAATTAACCCTTTTACTTCTAATTTTGTAGTCATTTTACTTCCACAATTATACCGGATCTATTGGCCTTATTGCGCTGCACATACATTGTTGATACATATGGAACAATATAAGTACTGTAATGGAACACCGAGCATGGTTGACAATTTATACTTTACTGCGATACGTGAAACTTGTAGTGACTTTTTTTTTGAGACACAAACTTGTAGTGTCTATACAGACGATGTTTGTAGATCAGTCAGCTTAATTTCGTTTTGTTGCTTAAGGTTTCCTATCAAGTCTGAGGAAAAAGAAGGCCCATGAAAATGGGTTTTCATAGGCCTACACGGAATTTTTATTGTTAAACCAGATTGTTGTTTTGGGTTCGTTTTTGTCTAGTTCCAGAGTTAAGTAGGCCCAATTTAGAAACGGAGACACCTTAATTGCGCCTAATTGGGCCTAGATGAGAACTATGATATTAAGCCGGCTATTGGGCCTATATTAGGCCTTTTCTCACTGTTTTTTTCACCGTTTGGTGATGGTGTTGATTTTTTTGTATAGGTGCGTTTGTATACTCCGGGAGCTGTCTGAGGTAGCCTCATCCACGTTTTTATGTGTAAGGAACATTCTCATAATTGATATAATCATTCTTTGATAATTAAAAAACGTCCAAAAGCTACAGGTTAATGATTTTTCACCTGTCATGTTCTGGTTAAATAATAAAGGCCTCTGTTTTCCATTGAATTTTCTGTTTATCTTCACACCTTCAACAATAAAAATTGAAGAGCACTGTCCATTTTTAACACAAACTCACTGCTAATACAAACCAATGTCTGCTATAACTGTTGATCTACACCTGCTTACATAAACGTGATAGGTGAACTTACAATAATATCACATTCCCCACCATATTGATTAATATTGTGACTCTCTGTCAATACAGAATGCAATGTTTTCAATTCGAGATAGTGGTGGTTTGATATTTATCTGCTAGCGTTACAAGTGTGTGTGTTTTTTTCTGTAGTCATCAGTAACTTTTCAGAAAGCACCTGAATTGTATAACTCTTTCTCTGAGTATTGACATTTGTTTGGTTAGGCAATTCAAAAAGCTTTTCCCAACTAACAATCACCTCATATTGAGGCCTCTTCAAGTGCTTCACAATAATGGACTTCTCTGTTGTTTAGTCATGTCATTAAAGTGGCACACACCTTGTGCTTGAACTCAGAAAGTTTAGCTAAATTAAAGTCATTTTGTAGTTTCCAAGTAAACAACAATATGTACCTGCATGCATAGTTATGCATATTGATATCAAGCTTTCAACAAATCTTAATCTATTATGTTACTGTGCAAGCTGAATATTAATTCTCTTGTATATAATACTGTTTCTTTACCCTGTCCTGGGCTTAATGCTGCAGTTGCATGATTCACCACAATAGCATCTTGTTCCCAATCCCAAGTTAAAAAAAATAGTCATGGAACTACATGAGCTTTTGTAGCTACCTTTACCTATGGACTATAACCAGACTCGTCCCAGAACATAGGCAAAGGAAGCTATTGCTTAGGCTCTAAATTTTTTGTGATTTTTTTTAGGCTTAAACTAAAATAAAAAGTTTTTTTTTTATAAAAGGAAGAAAACCTGACTATAACTTCCTTAAGAGTGATGCAACATCACTAAAAGAAGAGCATAAAAAGAAAGGATACAAGGCATAGAGATGATTAAATATAGGAATCAGAGGGAAGCAGTCATCTCAATTATCCAACCACATGGTCTTTTGCTTTTTAACCTTTAACTTTTACCACCAAACCTTCAGTTAGTGCTCTGAGATGTATACTGTTCGAACTATCATACTCAAGTTTTTGCAACTTTTTTTTTCCTTCAAGGGGTATGGGCCACTGTTCCTTAGATTCTATCAAGTTCTTTGCACATCTTCAAAAAACAACTGAACACAAAAAAAGTGGTCCTATGAGATTTATACAGTGTCTTTACTTGTGCCTCTTTTCATCACCTTGTCCACTCATCACATGCTTCCTTCTCAATTGCAGTAACTGGTGGGTCCACTTGTAGCTGCGACTGATGTGAAAGTCTTTTGACAGCATTCTACTAGTAGATAGTTTCCTTAAATTTCCTATTATATGATCAAAAATACTAATGTAATTCCCAACTAGTACTGTTTGTAGCTGAGGGAACTGTTCCTGGAGGACAGATACGTCTTTTCACTCTTTATGTATCTTTTGTTTTGATACTACTCTTGATGACAATTGAAACATCCTTATTGCAAAAGTTATGTTCAAACTTGTCCATAAAAATTGCCTAAAGAACCTTATCACTTCCCTTTTGATCTACAGGCGCCTGAGGTTGCAGCATCTGGTCCCTTCCCTTTAAAACTGATGGAAACTGTTCCACGACTAAAAGTACTCAGGTCAGGAAAATCATCACATTGTCACTTTCTGAAGCCTCTCAAACTTATCTATTGCTTTAGGTAGGTATCACTGATATTGCCAATGTTAGTTTGATCTTAGCCATCATGCTACAATGTTTAAAGATATAAACGGTTAGAGAAAAGTGCACGGGAAGAAGTTTTGTGATGTTGCATCTAAATGCATTTTCCCAATAGAATGTCTAGTATATCATTTTCAATTTCCTTGAATAAGAGTAGCTCACTTCTAAAAAGAAAGCATATAATGTAACCATCACGAGTTGTTACATATCGCATTATACTGGTGGAGGGTCAATATTTTGATGTTTTGATTTGATAGTTCAAAAAACAAAACTACATGGTTAATTAGGTACAGGGATTTTTCCCATGTTTTTTTTTCTAGCAAAAACCTTTTCTCAGGTCATTGCCATTCTTTGATATCTTGTAGGACATGTTTAGATATGGCTTCACACTCAAAAACCGTCCTTTTGAGTGCAATAAGACGGACCCGTCGTACTCATTCGCGTTGGCATCTGTTAAGTGGAGTCTACGGTATGTGAATCACAACGTTTTGAGTTCATTGATAATGATAAACACATATGGAGAAAGAGATTTTTTATTCCTTTGGTTTGCCAATAAGAAAAAAAAAAAGAAGCTAGAAAGCTTGAGGAACTTTGCTTTGCTTCTTGATTATGTTCTTTACTTGAAATTACAAAGTTAAGAGAATAGAAACATCATGGACAGATGAGAAAGCTCTATCACAAACTCTTCATTTGTGTTTATGATGGGACCACGTAACTCTCTTTGTCTTGTACATTGTCTTCACTTACCCACACGCACCAAATCATCATCTGAGCTTATTATCGTTACCACTTGATTTTTATTATTCTTTGTTAAAATCTTGATTTAGTTTTTTTTTTTACCAAGACATGGAGATGATGAGTCCATAAGAACTTTATATTCATCAAGGTGTTTTTTTTTTTATGATCCAATTTTTGAAAATTTCTATTTGAGTCGCTGAGTGATATTAATTGAATATTCATTACTATGACTGACCAGTTGTCTGAGTTTTGTCCGAAATAATAATGTTCGAAGATCAAAGACAGGTGACTGATAAATTAATTTCTCTCATTTACGCACGTTTGAAAAAAAACATATAATTGAGTTCTTATTATATATGATCGATGAGCATCAAAAACATCATCAATTGTTAACGAAATAAAATTACGTTAATACACATCGTACATTTTTTCATTCACATACCTACCATTTTTTATTTCTCTAAAAGTTACATAAATTTTTTAAATCTTACTAAAACATGTGTGAAATGGATATTATATAGTTTCTGTAACGTTAAAGATTAAGATCGAGACTCACATGCTCGTGCACATTAGGGCTCAAACCGTAACGGTATGATGACATGCTGTTTTGAGCTGCGGAGCCTCCCATTCGTAACGGTAGATGCGGCTGAGAACCAGCCAAGGACGGTAAAACCGAGTTATCATTACTAAACGCTGCGTTTGAGTTATAAACGCCTCTAACGCTAGTAGATGAAGGCGGTACACGCCATACTCCTAGTGGACTCCCATTGATCGGTTGAGTGTGATACAAGGAGGACGGTCCTGGCCCTGGAGTGTGTCCTCCGTAGAACCTAGCGGTCGGTAAAGATGTGCTGCTCCACGACGGGTAGTGACGGTAACCATAGAGATTAGCGTTGGGATGATGAAAATAAGAGGAAGCACCGCGTTTGGCGAGCTGGCGTTCTCTTTTGTGAGCGTTTTGGTGTCCACCTAGGGCTTGTGAAGTAGGGAAGTTTCTAAAACAATAGTGACACTCGAATCTCCTGTTGTTGTTGTTGTTGTTGCTTATGCTATTGTCCTTACCGTTGTTATCTCCGGTTTGGTCTACTTCTTCTTCTACTTGTTCATCTTCTTTGTTTTTGGTATCGGAGTAATCTCCAATGGTGAACTCTTTTCCAAAGAGACGAATGGGTTTAGGGTTGTTATCTTTGGAGGGAGGACGACGGAAGAAAGGTAGTTGGGAGAAAGATTCAACGTCCATGAAATTTTGAGTTTCTCTTGCTGCATTTGTTTCGTCCATTGAGAGAGATATAGATAGGTATGATGCTTGTATTTGAATATTGGAGTTGTGAGGCTGATTGTTTCAGAGACAAATCAACGTTTATATAGAAGTAGAACTGTCTGTTTCCCATTTTCTTGTGGTATTACATTGTTTGTCAGAAGGTTGATAACATCTAATTAATGTTATTTAAAGGTTGATAGTTTTTTTTAAATTTAACCTAGAGGTATGTGGGCTCGAACTAATCGCAAAAGAGACAGTACGGACGACTAGTCTGACCCCAATTTTTTTTTTTTTAATGAGGTCTATGTAACATGAAAATAATTTTAACATACAGTAATAAAAACTTAGAATATGATTGGGTAATTTTCATCAACAATAAAGAACCTAAACTTCTTAATATATTATTTATCGAAAACCTCGATTTTCTGTAGGGGTTAACCCACATATTTCGAGAAAATATGAAAATTTTGTTTTAATGCATATTTTTATCATTCACTGACATAGTATGAAGGTTAAAGAGATTTAACACTTTAGATGTTCATGTTTCTCCAGAAAATAGAATTTTTTTATAGGGAGTTTGTCCACTAATTAAGTGGTATAAGAAATTTAAATAAATTACATGTTAGAAATTAGAAATGTTGTCCATGTACTAGTTAAATAAGCTTATCATACATTAATATAAGTTTCGAGTGTGGTTAGGTATTTTTAAATAGCACGAAAGAGGCTAAACTTTAGTATATATAACATTTATTGAAAAACTCAATCTATTCGCAAGGGTTAAGATAAATTAGAAATATGATATTTTTGTTTTCATGCATAATTTCATCATGCATTGACATATGATGAAGATTAAAGAGGTGTGTGGCCTTAGTTGTCCATGTTTCTTCTGAAAATAAAGATTTTATTGGAGTTAATCCATTTAATTAGGTGAAATATAAAGTATTATTAAATTATTCACTAAAATACTAGAAATGATGTCCATGTACCATGAAAATAATTTTAACATACGCTAATATAAATTTAAAATTTGTTTAGGTAATTTTTTATCAACAATAAAGAGCCTAAACTTTTTAATATAAAAAAACTTGACTTTTTTCCGTAGGGGTTAAGTCACATATTTCAAGAAAAAATTAGAAAATATGAAAATTTTGACTTAATGCATATTTGCATCATCCACTGACATAGTATGAAGGTTAAATAGATTTGAGACCTTAGATGTTCATGTTTCTAAAGAAAATAAAATGTTTTTATAGAGAGTTTGTCCACTAATTAAGTAGTATAAGAAATTTAAATAAATTACATGTTGGAAAATTAGAAATGTTGTCCATGTACTAATTAAATAGGCTTATAATACATTAATATAAGTTTAGAGTGTGGTTAGGTATTTTTTTAAATAGCACGAAAGAGGCTAAACTTTAGTATATATAGCATTTATTGGAAAACTCAATCTATTCGTAAGGGTTAAGATAAATTAAAAATATGATATTTTTGTTTTCATGCATAATTCCATCATGAATTGACATATTATGAAGATTAAAGAGGTGTGTGGCCTTAGTTGTCCATGTTTCTTCTGAAAATAAAGATTTTATTGGGGTTAATCCATTTAATAAACTAAAATATGAAGTTTTATTAAATTATTCACCAAAATATTAGAAATGGTTTCCATGTACCATGAAAATAATTTTAACATACACTAATATAAATTTAGAATTTATTTAGGTAAATTTTTATCATCAATAAAGATTCTAAATTTCTAAATTTAGCATTTATCAAAAAATTTGATTTTTCGTAGGGACGCTAACCCACATATTTCAAGAAAAAATTAGAAAATATGAAAATTTTGATTTATTCATATTTACATAATTCACTGACATAGTATGATGGTTAAAGAGGTTTGAGACCTTAGGTGTACATGTTTCTCCGAAAAAAAAGAATTTTCTTTATGAGGGGTTTGTCCACTGATTAAGTGATATATGAAATTTAAATAAATTACATGTTGGAAATTTTGAAATGATGTCCTGAAAATAACTTTAACTTACATTAATAGAAATTTAGAATGTTATTGGGTAATTTTCATCAACAATAAAGAGCATAAACTTTTTACTATAACATTTATCGAAAAACTTTTTAACCCACATATTTCGAGAAAAATTAGAAAATATGAAAATTTTGTTTTAATTCATATTTGCATCATTCACTGACATAGTATGAAGGTTAAAGAGATTTTGAGACCTTAGGTGTACGTGTTTCTCCGGAAAATAGAATATTCTTTATAGAGGGTTTGTCTACTGATTAAGTGGTATATGAAATTTAAATAAATTACATGTTGGTAAATTTAAAATCATGTCTATGTAACATGAAAACAATTTTAACATATAGTAATAAAAACTTAGAATAAGATTGGTAATTTTCATCAACAATAAAGAGCGTAAACTTCTTAATATAGTATTTATCAAAAACCTCAATTTTCTGTAGGGGTTAACCCACATATTTTGAGAAAAAATTCGAAAATATGAAAATTTTGTTTTAATTCATATTTGCATCATCCACTGACATAGTATGAAGGTTAAAGAGATTTGATACCTTAGGTGTACGTGTTTCTTCGGAAAAATAGATTTTTTATAGAAGGTTTGTCTACTGATTAAGTGGTATATGAAATTTAAATACATTTCATGTTGGAAAATTTGAAATTCTGTCTATGTAACATGAAAATAATTTTAACATATAGTAATAAAAACTTAAAATAATATTGGGTAATTTTCATCAACAATAAAGAGCCTAAACTTCTTAATATAGTATTTATCGAAAACCTCGATTTTCTGTAGGGGTTAACCCACATATTTCGAGAAAAATTCAAAAATATGAAATTTTGATTTAATGCATATTTTCATCATCCACTGACATAGTATGAAGTTTAAAGAGATTTGAGACCTTAGATGTTCATGTTTGTCGAGAAAATAGAATTTTGTTTATAGGGGGGTTAGTCCACTGATTAAGTGGTATATGAAATTTAAATAAATTCCATGTTTGAAAATTTGAAATGATGTCCCTGGACCATGAAAATAATTTTAAAATATCTTAATACAGATTTAGAATTTGATTGGGTAATTTTCATCAACAATAAAGCACCTAAACTTCTTAATACAACAATTATCTAAAAACTCGATTTTCTATAGGGGTTAACCCACATATTTCGAGAAAAATTAGAAAATATGAAATTTTTTTTTAATTCATATTTGCATCATTCACTGACATATGATGAAGGTTAAAGATATTTGAGACCTTATGTGTACGTGTTTCTCCGGAAAAATATAATTTTTAATAGAGGAGTTGTCTACTGATTAAGAGGTATATGAAAGTTAAATAAATTAATGTTGGAAAATTTGAAATTATGTCTATGTACCATGAAAATAACTTTAAACATATAGTAATAAAAACTTAGAATTTGATTGGGTAATTTTCATCAACAATAAAGAGCCTAAACTTCTTAATATAGTATTTATCGAAAACCTAGATTTTCTGTAGGGGTTAACCCACATATTTCGAGAAAAATTCGAAAAATATGAAAATTTTGTTTTAATGCATATTTGCTTCATTCACTGNAAACTTAGAATTTGATTGGGTAATTTTCATCAACAATAAAGAGCCTAAACTTCTTAATATAGTATTTATCGAAAACCTAGATTTTCTGTAGGGGTTAACCCACATATTTCGAGAAAAATTCGAAAAATATGAAAATTTTGTTTTAATGCATATTTGCTTCATTCACTGACATAGTATGAAGGTTAAAGAGATTTGAGACTTTAGATTTTCATCTTTCTCTAGAAAATATAATTTTTTTATAGCGGGTTTGTCCACTAATTAAGTGGTATAAGAAATTTAAATAAATTACATGTTGGAAAATTAGAAATGTTGTCCATGTACTAGTTAAATAGGCTTATCATACATTAATATAAGTTTCGAGTGTGGTTAGGTGTTTTTAAATAGCAAGAAAGAGGCTAAACTTTAATATATATATAGCATTATTGAAAAACTCAATCTATTCGTAAGGGTTAAGATAAATTAGAAATATTATATTTTTGTTTTAATGCATAATTGTATCATGCACTGGAAAATGATGAAGATTAAAGAGGTGTGTGGCCTTAGGTGTCCATGTTTCTTCTGAAAATAAAGCTTTTATTGGGGATAATCCATTTAATTAGGTGAAATATTAAGTTTTATTAAATTATTCACTAAAATACTAGAAATGATGTCCATGTACCATGAAATTAATTTTAACATACACTAATATAAATTTAGAATTTTTTTAGGTAATTTTTTTATCAACAATAAAGAGCCTAAATTTCTGAATTTAGCATTTATAAAAAAAACTTGATTTTTCGTAGGGGTTAACCCACATATTTCAAGAAAAAATAGAAAATATGAAAATTTTGATTTAATGAATATTTGCATCATTCATTGACATAGTATGAAGGTTAAATAGGCTTGAGACCTTAGGTGTAAATGTTTCTCCGGAAAATAGAATTTTCTTTATAGGGGGTTAGTCCACTGATTAAGTGTATATGAAATTTAAATAAATTACATGTTTGAAAATTTGAAATGATGTCCATGAACCATGAAAATAATTTGTACATATCTTAATACAGATTTAAAATTTGATTGGGTAATTTTCATCATCAATAAAGAGCCTAAACTTCTTAATATAACAATTATCGAAAAACTCGATTTTCTATAGGTGTTAACCCAAATATTTCGAGAAAAATTCGAAAATATGAAAATTTTGTTTTAATTCATATTTGCATCATTCACTGACATAGTATGAAGGTTAAAGAGATTTGAGACCTTAGGTGTACGTGTTTCTCCGGAAAAATATTTTTTTTAAAGGATTTGTCTACTGATTATGTGATATATGAAATTTAAATAAATTACATGTTGGAAGATTTGAAATTATGTCTATGTAACATGAAAAGAACTTTAACATATAGTAATAAAAACTTAGAATTTGATTGGGTAATTTT